CGACCTGCAACTGAACCGTGCCTGCCTCTTTCTGATATATCCCATGGTAAAGATGCAAGCAGGTTTTCGCCATGACTAGTATCGATAGCTCCGCTCCTTGCTCCTCTTGCCTCTGGATACAGTACCCCAGTACAGGCAGCAAGATGAGAGCAATTGCGTGTGTTTATTTGAGCTGTTGTTTCGCTTCTTTTTTATGAGCCAACACCCAAACCGGCCTGAAGCCGGCGCTCACGACTTTGTATCCGCTCGTTGGAAATGGAGATGATATGCATGCTGGACTGGACTGGGCTGCAGTAACCCTAATTATCGATTGCGGCGTATTATTATTTCTCTTGCTCTCTTTCCCTCTCTTCCTTCTCTGGATTCCGTCTTCCCCCCATCCTCTCCACTGCTTCGTCCCATTGCTATCTGCCATCTACCCTTGAAGGGAGTAGTAATAGGAAAGGGCATTTGCATCTCATTCACTCGACTGATCCCACTTTCCATTCCACATCTGGACATATACAAAAACACACTGGCCCACAACCCTCTCCCCTCCCTTCCTCTCAGCCTCTTCTTCATCTAACACTCCTGGACGGCAGGCCCCTTCATCAGCTGCATCCCTTTTTTTTTCTTTTTTTTTTCTTCGATCTGCAGGTAAATAATTCATCAGCCATACCAACGCCTGTTTCTTTGGATGAGATGGGAAATCCTATCCTTTTCGCAAGTAGGATCGACCATTGGGCTGGTAGTGTTCAGCAATATAATAAAGTGTGCGATGCCCTAGCACCCATGGATGGATGGCTCGAATTCTATTTATGGAAGATTGCCCTGCACACACTCGAATTGATTCGACTGCTCAAGTCAACAGGGCACACATGATACAGCACAGCAATTGCCCCAGGACGCAAGAGACGAAGAGAAAGCGAATGATAGAGAGAAAGAGAGAAAGAGAGAAGGAGAGAGAGGGAGAGGAGGAGGAAGGGAGGGGGAAAGGGATGAATGAACCCATAAGAAAGAGTAGGAAAGAAGACAGTGTAAGGGGAGGAGTGAGTGTCGCCTCCAGTTGCTGTGTGTGTGAGCGAGATGATGGAGAAGGCGATTCTGTACCTGATTGCGCTCAGCCCACTCAGTCTCAGCTGATGCCACAGCGTGTTCATAGACATGGACATGAACTTGGGCATGGGTAGACAGGGCGGAGCAAGATATAGGGCGCTTGGAATGGTATGCCTCAAACGGTTCCTTCTCCGCTTTTCGCCCCCCCTTCCCATTCAAACGCTCTCTTCGTTACACGAACACAAACCACTCAATCGAACTGACTGACTGACTGACCTTTCCCTCGCCCTCCGCTGCATGCTCACACTCCTTCCTCTTCCTCCCCCCCTCGCCTGCGCGCCCTTTTCCTTCCCTTATCTTCGCTCCCTCCCAACGTCCCCCCCTCCGCAACAGGAACCCGAGCCTGGCTCCCATCTCTTCTCCCCTCGACTTGGAACCCCCATGGCACAGCCTCAGACTATCCCAAAACTGGGATACCCCTGTCTCGCTGCCTCTGATGACACCATCTTCCTCGTCGGCCTCCAGTATCCCGCTGCTGCTTCAGGGAACTCCACCACGCCCACCAAAAACTCCACCTATGCTCTGCAGTCCTACACCCTTCCCATCGACAAAAACCTCTCCAGCGGCTCTCCTCTCGACTTTAGCCCCATCCCTGCGGCCAAATCCAACACCGTCAGACCTCTCGCCAACAGCAGGATGATCTGTGCCCTCGACAAGACCTCTGGCACATTTCTTTACATCTTCAACGAAAATGTCTACCTCGAGAACGCCCAGACACCTGCCCTCGCAGCTTCAGAGCCCATTGCAACCTGGGATGCTACCCGAGGTACGGCGCCGCAGGTCGCCTGGTCCAAGACTGATGGTCAGGGCCAGTTCCAATGGCTCGGACTCATTGGCGGCAACTGGACTATGTTCGACATTGATGCCGCTCACGGCGTCTCGGGTCCCACGCCTGCGTAAGGCCTCCTGTTCGCTTTCAATGCTTTTCTTTTGAGTAAAGGCCCATTAATGCCCTAACTGCGGTACATTTTCTTTTACTTGTCGATAGCCCTGTTCCCGCTGACATCCCCACGACCAGCATTTTTTCGATTTACCGAGAACGGACCGGATCCTTCCTCGTCATCTACAACAAGTCCTCCAGCACAATGGCCTCAAGATTCACTCTCGGTGCTCCCAGTTCTACGCCCTTAGTACTTGCTGCTGCCGATATTGGCTACATTGGATTCTCAGCCGTCGCTCACGCCCATGATGCGACCTACAACTATTTCTTTGGAAGCGATGCTGTAAGTAAACAGAAAAGTAGATAAATTCCGATCGTTTCTGTAGCGAGCCATGGAGTCCTCGCTCAACTAATTTGGCTCTCTTCTTGTCCGCCACCGATGGGAACGCGGTCTTATAGAAACAAAAAATCTCCTTTACGGCAACGGCGGCCCTAAATGCGTCCTTGATCGAAATGATGTCCACCAGGTCTTTTCCATCAGATTTTCGAGGTCCTGTCCCTCAGTTCTTTGATTATGGCGCTGCGACCATGTTCGATACTTCCAAGGCATTGGTCTACGGAGGGCAGGTCAATCCTGCCATCAACAGCTGGAGCTTTGGCTTGACTACAGTCATCACTAATGCAGGAATCCATTTCAACAACTACTCCATCTTTGCCACAGACAAATCTACGAGTGCCGGTGCCTTCAACGTCTACACGCCTCCAGCACCCGCAGCCCAGGAGTCATCCAGTAAGGGCTTATCAACGCCGGCCATTATCGGAATCGCTGTCAGCGCTGTTGCTCTGGTCATGCTTGTGGCTCTGTTTGCCATCTTTCATCGTCGCAACAAAAAGATCGATGAGCGCGCTCGAGAGCAGGAAGGATTGGGGATGGCAGTTCGCGATTTGCACGCCAAGGGCGGCAAAGGCATGAGCTCCTATCAACCTCGTTTCGCTTCAACCCACTCACTGCTGGATTCAGAGGCCAACACCTCCCCTCGCGGCCAAAACAGTGTCTCGACCGAACGCCCTGTAGAAAATTTGACCTTGCGCGTCCCCATTGTGCGCTACGACGGCCGCGATGTTGCTCAATCGGTGCCTCATGCTCCATTGGGCGCGGTTGTCCTCTCACAATACCGTCTTGGCCAGACGGCCGTCAATTCCAAGATGATCGTCATTCAGTTAGGCGAGAACGTGGACACGGCCGAGAGTGTGACCCTCAAGTGGGTTCGGGACGAGATTGTCTGGCAGCGAGAGGCCGCTATGTTGAACCACATCGTCAACCCCGCCAAAATCATCTCGCTTCACCAGACTATGATCATTCCCGCTGCTCTAGAGTGGCGCCATATCCTCGTTCTGGATGCACATGAATCAACCCTGGACTTTATGCTTTCGACTCACCAGCACCGCCTTTTGCACCGACCCGATCAGCTGGCAGTCGCCAAAGCACTGTTGAGCGGACTGGTCTGGTGCCACGAGAAGGATGTCGTTCATCTTTCCATCTGTACAGGGTCGCTAGTGCTGAACGAGGAAGGCCATTGGGTCATCTGGTCTTTTGGCGGAGCTAGGTTCCTGAATGAGGCTGTTGGACCCCGTCAGGGTTCGTTAATCGGCCAGGAGAACGGCACCGTGGAGAGAAACCTGGCTCCTGAGCTATTGAACGCTCGACGGGAACTAAGACTGGACACAACATTGGCTACAACCGCGATGGATGCCTGGGCAGCGGGCTGTGTCCTGTTCGAGGTGCTCACTGGACAGCCTTTGTTTAGGACCGAGGAGGCGGCAGACCAAGCGGCAACTGGGCGATTCAGTGCATGGAAGGATCGTCTCGTCGATATTCAGGACCCCAACGAGAGAAAGGTCGTCGAGGGGCTCCTTGTCCTCGATCCTAACTTTCGCCTGAGTCTTAATCAAGCTGAATCTTTGTTTGTGTGAGAGACGGCAGACAACGCCAACATCAACGCCATCAAGACACCGCCAAACACCACCTACAAAGAAATAAAATACCCGCATTACCTTCATTCCCGACTACCGACTGTGTCATTATTGCTTTTTTTTTTTTTTTTTTTTTTTTTTTTTTTTGTTCTTTCTTAATATATATAAGGCCATCCCGTGAGATCGATGTAGGCAGCATCGTAGTAACCATGCTGTGTTTATTCATAAACGACAAATGCTTCAAACGCTTCTCATAAAAATGACAGCTATGGTTTCCATGCACCTACGCAGTCCACATGTAATCCACCTCGCCCAGCTTGAAGACGCACTTGCCCTGATTGATGTTGTTGCTTTTGTCCATTCCCAGGAAGTCAGGCTTGCGGACAAAACCATGCCTTAGCAGAAGAACATTCTTTGCTGTATTCAGTGCGAACGACACCGTGCGGAAACGAGTAAGTTCAGGAAGAAATCCGTTCAAGGCTACAAGAGTGCGCCACTCGAGTTCTAAAGGATGGTCCACAGTTTGTGACCCAGGAGGTGAGTAGGGCCACAATGACGGACGAGTAGTGCATGTGCACCCCTCGATATTGACGCTTAACGTTCTAACCCCTGGACAAAACTCGCGCAGGACCGAGAGGAGGCGGTAATCGGCTGACGGACTGTGTCTCTCCATTCTGGCGATCTGCTCTTCGAGGTCACGATTCAAAGGCGGCCTCTCAGGCAGAGTATCCAGATCTGGCTCCCCCACAGGGTCAGATGGGCTTATTGGCTGCGTCTCGGACTCCATGAAAAGATGTAGGATAGAGTCCTCAAAATCGTAAGGGCATTCCATGTTGATTATAGTGAACTTGCAGATCAACAGTCCCTGCGGCAGCGAAAATGACTTATTGTCCAACTCTGCTGCGACGTCGCAGATATTGACATATGCCTTGAGAATGCTACTGTATTCTAGGCCATTGACCTCCAGGACCTTCAAGGACGGCAAAAACTGCAGCCAGTCGAACCGAAAAGACTTTGCTCCGGTTCCTGAAAGTTGCAAGGTCCCGAGCTCGGCCAGGAACATCTGGGGCATCCAAAGTAGGGGCGGATGCCCCGAGCCATCATCGTGAAGGGCAAGGGACTCCAGTCGAGACAGTCGGGCCAGAGAACCGAGATCAAACATCTGGCGGATCGTGTGGCCATCCAAAAGCAGCTCCCTCAGACTCAATGGTGCTCTCCACACGTGAGTAGACCGGCGCGTTTCCCCATCAGATACCAGTATTAGACGTTGGAGGCGCGGACAGCCATCGAAAGGATCCTCTCCCAGAAAGTGAGTATGACCAGAAAGATGCAAGTACAGGTCCACAAGTTGAGGCATTGTAAAGGACGCACTGCCTAGGTAAAAGTCTGTCCTGTGCGGTTCAGGAGTAGAGTGCAAGTTTGTTCGACGCTGGGGGGGCACTAGTCCAAGTTTGAGCTCTCGCAAGCTATTGCTGAATTCCAACTTGATTAAGCTGAGGATGAGGTGTAGTTCATGGGTGTTCAAGGCATACAACTTCGCAACAGTCAACGCAGGTGGCGTTGACAAAGCTGGGCTAAGGGTCCATACGTCCTCTATCGCCAGTGGATCGCCTAGCGCTCTTTGAGTTGACCTTTGGCGGCTCTGAAGCTCGAACCACCAGTCATTGTCGCTCAGGACTACTTGAGTCGTGTGAGAACCAAAGTCGACCTCGCCTGCATTCCGGACAACCATCTCGATCTCTCTCAGCCGCGGGCAACGTCTCAGGAAGCCTTGGAAGGAGAAGGATTCCTGCTGATTGCCGAGTGATACAAATCGGACTAGTTCCTGTAAATTCTCGTTACCAAGCTCGATACTCAAAAATGCCCAGTTTGTGCAGGCGCTAACATCCAAAGAGAGTGGTTTTTGGACAATTTGAAGGAGTGTTGCTGCCTCGTCCTTGTAGTCGCCCATGAAATAAAAGTCTGGTGGAAGTTGCAAGTGTCGAATCCCTTTTACTCGTTCTCGATCCAAGGTGTCCATGCCTTTTCCCTCGAGCTCAAGGAGACCATGGAGAAGACGCGCATAGTTGAAATTGGTGTAATAATCATGCGAGCGTCTAAGCTCCTCCGGGACCTCTCGATAGGACGTTCTCTCTGTGTCTTTCTTATAGTACGATGTAGGAGGGGTCTGGTCGAAGCAAAGTGTCGTCCAGCTTGGCAGCAAGTTGGCAATGTCGCAAGGCAGGTTCGTATCTGGATGTAGCACAAGGGTTTTGGCGTTCGGATTCTCAACAAACCAATCGAGGATCGTGTGGAATGAGAATCGAAAGGGCGAAGCGAGATCGCTCTCACACGCTGCAATGCATCCAACATGGACGGTTTCCCAAAAATCGAGATAACGGCCCCAAGGCGCCCAGTCAAGGACCTCTAGAAAAGACATGTAATTCACGGTGGTGCGAATTTCGACTCCATCCTTGTCCACCACGCGGCAGGATCCCGCCAAGCCGCTGACCTCTTCGGAGACCAGAACGGTCTTCTCCCCGGGTTCACTGGGACAGAAAATGGAGCGCAATAACAGGCGGACGAGCAATCGCTCTTGAACGGGGTGCAACCATGGCTTTGGGGCGTGTCCGTCAGGTCCGCGTCTGCCTGTAGCATCGCTGTGGAAAGGATCGCGGTAGAGGTGCTTGACCGCAAAACAGAACCAAGGCTTGCTGACGGTCAAAGATGAATGAAGGGAGCTTTGATCGAGATATGAAAAGATAGAGTGGGCGACTATAGGCGGGATGTTACCAGGAAAAGTTGCATGACTAGGGTTAGACCGCTTGTCTTTGGTGATCGTTTTTGTTTGAGAAGAGGTGGGGGAAACACTGGGCTCGGAGCCAGGTGGGTCGTCCTGGGAGCTGGCGATGCTGAGCACGTCGTCTATGCTGTTCTCGTAGGAAGTATCCGAAAGGTGCTCGCACTCATCCTCAAAAATTGTCGCCGAGAACAGATTATTGGCGTGATGAATGTCTGACTCGAACGGATAGTCAACGCTAAAGACACCGTTGTCGTAATCCTCCTCGTGTTTGCCACCTCCGTAGTGGCCATTGCTGTCGCTGCTCTCGCCCCTGCTGTCTGCACACGATTTTTGGTCGTCGTCATCATCGTCGGCTAGACAAAGTTGGTCGTCCTCCTCATCGCTAACAAGAAGAAAGGAGGAGCTAGAGCAAGACGACGGTGTGCGTCTTAGTAGCCAGGACCGTGCGGCTGTGCTAGCGTCCATGGAAAGCGTGTGTGAGTAATAAAAGTATGGATAATGTGTGAAAAGAATGAGAAGGTATGAAGTATAGGAAAGAGGGGAAAAGAGAGAGAGTGTGTGTATGTGCGTGGGTGTGAGAGTGTGAAAGAGAGATAAGGAGCGGTACGACTGCGAGGGCGAGGGAGCCCTCGCCACCCATAACGGAAGTCTGCGACGTGTCATTTTCCCTCACTGCAGACAGCCGATGGCGAGAGGGGCACAAGCGCCTTCCTTCTTCCCAAGTAGCATTATCATTGATACTGTGGTAGGGCATTGTTGCGCTATCCCAATACGTGCCCTCGCCAAAAGGAAGAGTCTAGGCGAGAGAAAGCAGGCACCCGCCCCCTATTCCTTATTCGGCGAAACACACTTGTACTTCCCAGTGTGCAAGAGACGAACCCCTGCCTGCAACCTGTCTGATAGATTCGGGCAGATTGCCGCAGCAAAATCGGACCACACCCCAGGATGCTGCTAGTAACGTTTGCTTCAGCGCGCTGGGTGCAGTTTGCTACCGTGCTGTAGTTAATTATCTTTGGCATACACGGTAGTAATTGGTGCTGAATGGTAAGTAATGGCTCCAAATAGATCTTTATTCATTATTGGTGTATTATTATATATATATATATAAACGACTATATATAATAGATAGAGCTGGCGCTGCCTTTTTCAGATCATGTCTAGGATAATGTGAATGGTTCTGTAAGGTGCGACTCGAAGTCGATATCATTATCCTGGTTCCCAAAGTGCTTTAAGAGCGAGATTCTCAACCTGAACTTCTGCCCCACAGGGGCATCTGCTGGCTTAGCCCTCACGCCGTCGTCCAACAGCACCTGCCCATCCCATCCCATGACCTGGAATGCGTTGCCTTCGATCTGGTCACTCCTAGACACGTATCGTGCAATTCCGTTCTTGAGAACACCATAGCTCTTGACCTGGTAGGGATCGTCACCCTTATCCGAGACCAGATCAAGGACCAAGACCTCACTGGCTGTGATCATGCGAAAAACAATCTTCATCAGACCAGGCGATCTGCGCGGGCGACTTTCAGAGGCAGACGGGGTGGCTGTAGAAGCGTCTGGTGCGTTAAAGCGGATACTTCGGGTCTTCTTGCTGATAGCCCCGCCTGAGCCGGCCTTCAGTGTATCATTGCGGGAACTACTCTGCCTACTTGCAGAGCCCAAGCCTCGGCTACGGCTGGCATAAAGGGGACGTCCACGAGCATCAAAGATGCGGAGACCAAAGACCGGATCAAGGACATTGACGTTCTTGTAGTTGCCGTGCATTCCCATGTAAGGTACATGCATCACTGGCGACTCTGAGCTGATAGTCCTAGGTGTGAAGCGGATGTATCCCGAGTATATCACATACTGCGAGGGATTTGTATCGGGTCCTGTGAACATCATCTCGACGGTCATCGAGGAACCAGGCGCGACAATTACGGTACTATGAGGAACCTTGACCGAAGCCTTGGCAGTGATGATCTGCGGATTCTTTTCAACCATCATGTTCTTGTCAAAGGGCAAGAGACCTGCGGCAGAAACGACATCAAGCTCGTACTGTAGTGGCGTCTGACCGTTGTTGGTAATAGTGATCTTCTGCTTCGAATTCATGTTAACTGTGTCATTGAGAGAGATGCTAGAGGGCGTGATGATAACCCGGGTCTTGAGGACACTCATCATACTGAGGAGGCCAGCTCCCTGTTGTGTAACCGAAGCAAACCCTTTATACCCCGTTTGCTGCAAACGCGGTTGAGCACTGTTCTGGAACGCAACCTTGATGCCTTTTGCTGAGCGGTCTGCATTGGGAAGCCCTTCCAGATAGAGCGCAACGCATCCAACGACATAGGGTGTAGCCATCGATGTCCCAGAGAGAGTGGCGTATGAACCAAACTAATATCGATGTTGCATTGACAGTGAGTCATTCTAGTTGTGCTCTGCTCTTTCATACACTTGTCTAAATATTCATGAGAAATTCAGCATAGATATAATGCTCCAGGGAACCGCGCATACCTTGATAGGGAAAGTTGACCAGATCTGGCCGCCTGGTGCAGCAATATCCGGCTTCGAGTTCAGCTCTGAGTCCGGTCCCATGGACGAAAAGATTGATAAGAAGCCACCATTCGGGTTAACGACCTCCTTGGGCCCGACACCCGCAACGAGCTTGATGCCCTCGACCTCCTTCTTCTCTTCAGCAATTGTCCTGAGCAGGTATTCGCCATCGTCCAGGGTAATGGTCCTGGATTTGATTATGGCTCCTGATGTGTCTCCAGCAAAACCATTGGAAGGAACGTTGTCCATAATAATCACACCGGTCGCGTTGGCCAGAGCTGCATTTGCAACCTTGACCTTGAAAGTGCAACCGCCGCGGCGAATGAGAGCGATCTTTCCCTTCAGGTCAGTATCGATAGCGTGGCATGCATCCTCCTTGACTTGACCCGACGTTCCTGGGGCGACTTGTACAAGCGCAGTATTGGTCAGATTCATATCAAAGTCTCCCATATACAATATTGATCGCGGTTGCTCTGACTTTTTGTTCGCGTCGTCCTTATCACCATCAGCGTCCTTCACATCAACGGACTTGCCCTTGAGCGCGGACTGGTCCACCATAAAATACATGTTGCTTCTGGACTCATTCTCGATCGAGGCTACTGTGATAACAGACTCTGCAACGCCAGGTGAGGATGACTCGAAAAGACCCATCTGACCCTCATTACCCATGGCAGCGACAATAATAGTTCCTTTTATGGCCAGTGCATCTGCAAGACGCGCCTCCCGATCCTGGCGCCATCCACCTGGACCTCCAAGAGACAGGTTGATGACCTGCATTCCATCCGCTGCAGCACGCAGAAGCGCCTTCATGATCAAATCATTGCTTGTACCACCTTTGCATCCGAAAACTCTGTATGCGCCGAGAATTGCTGCAGTAAAGAACATCAAGATGGGTAAGAGTGAATAAACGACGGGTGCTTTCAGATTTTTTCATAGTTCAATAAAATATATCCTGCGTATTACCTTGAGGAGCAACTCCAAGGAAAGCGGTATCATTGGCTGCTATAATCCCAGCAACATGTGTACCGTGCCCATCGCAGTCAGTCATAGGATCGTCGTCAGGACTATTTCCATCATCTCCGACAAAATCCGTTCCGTATGCAATCTTGCATCCAGGTCCAAAGCATCCTCCTAGAGCCGGGTGCTAGTTTTGCAAAAGTTAAAACAAGAAGGTGGTGCCATGGCTTTTGTCATTTTGATCAAAGATCAAGAACCTTGCCACGAACAAAGAACAGTTCCTTACATGGTAGTCAACACCAGAATCAATAATCCCGATCTTGATACCATTCCCAAACAGCTTGAGCGATTCGTGCACTTCCTTCACTCCTGTAAGATCATGCCTGTAACAAATAACAGGAAAGGAGGTGTGTAAATGCGAGTGGGGTATCTTCGGTAAGAATAGGTTGCAGTCTGCATCAGCGATGTATAGGTAATTCTTACACGGCGTATTTTTTCATTCTTGAGGCACTTTGTTTATGGACATGAAGAGGCTCCTTGATATAGTCGGGTCTATCGTGTATGACCTGAGAAGCAGAAAAAGAGGAAAAAAAATAATTTAAAGTTAGCGAAAGGCATGCCAGCATGGTACCCATAGGGCAGACAATGCATGATATGTGTGACATTTTTACCACGGGCTCGATCATCTTGATCCCTGAGATCTGGTCAAGAATCTCCCCCAAAACACTCTCGTCCCGTACAGTAATTGACACGGCGTTAAGGGCATCCCAGAACTCGTGTCGCATAGTGATTCCAGGGTGCTCTTTGACGAGTTCTGTAAAGCGCGTGCGCTGGTCGAATTGGTTGTGGAAATCGATCCAGAACGCGTTCTCAATCGCATTCTCAACCAGATCGGAAGAGCGGATAATGGGGTCTTGAAACTGAGGGCGGTGGTGTTTGTGGCCGCCAACAGTGACACCTCCGTTAGAAATGACCTTCACGTTTTTTAGGACCTGGGAAACACGTTGCGATTCAACAAACTGGGCGAACAAGGGTGAGAGTGAGAGAAGGGACGCTGCTGTGAAAGATAGGATGAGCTTTGGGGCCTTCATCTGCTTGGAAGGAAAGTTGTCGCGTTGATGGCGACAATAATGATTGCTGGTAGAGTGTACCTTGTGTGAAGACTTGAGATGGGAGAAGAGACTGGTTGTATACAAGAGAGGAGAAGGAAAATGTGGGCCATAGAGTTAAATACTTGTAGCACCTGGTAACGGAGTGTGGCCCCTCCCCTCTCTTGACAGAAATGTGTATGTATAGTATATGATGTGTGCTGTGTAATGTGTAAACGTGTGTATGGTGTGGCATCCGATGAATTTCCAACCGCTTCGTAGCTGGTATGAGAACGAACGTCTCAAGCCGGGCAAGAGATCTCTATGCTGCTCTTGTTGCTCTTGTTTCATATTTCAAGTACTGTTCCTTATCGCTCTTAATCCAACGGCCACATAGTTTGCTGGAAACGCGTTCGTTGCAGGCTGTGCTGTGATTATCCCCCCCTCTCTTTTTTTTATCCATAGACGGAATGGCAGGCGATATATTCAATATGTGCCATTCAAAACTCTATATCTACTGGACGTTCTAATCAATACAATGTTGTTTTTGAACGAATAGCATGAGATCTATGCAAAACACAATAACGAGCACAGTTCGCCCTATCCTCGAAAGGAATAGATTTCTCAAGGGTGAGACCAGGAAGGTGCGCTGATCGGAAGAGAGGAGCAATCTTGGAGGGCTTCAAAAAGCTGTAGCGACTACCCAAGAAATCATTGTCTGAGCCGTCGATAGCCTGCGGTCAGGGTTCGGACTCAGTTCGCGATTTGAGAAGGCCGATCTTCAAAAAAAGGCTGGGAAATATTTCGGATAACATCGCGGATTGCAAGAAAATGGTAGCCTACGAGTTCGAGCACTAGTGGCAGCAAGCGATCGAGGATAGGCAGGAGAGCCAAGGCGACACGGAAAGGGGAAAGAGCGAGATCAGGAGCAGGCTCGAGAATGGGGGCAGGCGCCAATTGAGTTGACAGGCGACAATGAAGATGATATCCGTACCTGTATCACCACCATGAAAGCGATTCTCCGGTCGGATATACCTCACTATCACGACACTACCATCAGAATTGTCGAGGAGCAACAACGGATAGTCTCTCAGGTGATTGTGGAGCTATCAGCACTGGCGCACAAAGCACTGATTTTGGTAAGTTCAGCTGAGAATTGCCAAACACGATGGACATATTCCTGTGGTATTAAGTTCTTACACTTGATATCATTTTTGTGCTTTAGGCCGTCGATGGACAGTTCTATAACAGCGCTCTTAACTTACACACGGTAACCCAAGACTTTCAGCCTCCGTGAAACGTTCCCTGACGATTTCATTTCCCATGGAGAGGCCGAACCAATTGTGAACGTCGCACCTATACCTCGTCACCTCCAGGAAGTGATAAGATTCTATGTCGCTTCACGCCACGGAGCCAGTAACCGTCATCAAGAGTGGAAGGACCCACATATCGAAGAATCTCGCTGCAACTTTATTTGACCTCCGAGAGAGAAGCATGAATCCAGCAGCATCTTAAAGAAGCAGTTCAGAAGAGGGCGGAGGAGGAGATCAAGGCCAGAACACTGCCCAGGTTGCATTGGCGGACGCAGATCCTGAATCTCTGGGATGAATTGTACAATATTTCGCAGAAAGAAACCCCCAGATTTTCCGAAGAGAGCGAGTCTACGATCGCGCAGCTGGCCTCCTAGAGCTACCGCGAATCAGCCAGCAAGGATCAGCCGCATATTCCCAATTTGAGCGATCGGCTTTGTGCCTTGGCTCAGCCCTTCTAGTAGCTACAACACTGCACTTGGATGGCAGGTGAAAGGTGCTCTCGACGACTGTTTTTTGACCGTTGCGACTGAAGCGATTTGGACGCGATAGAGGATATCAGGGCAGCCAAAGAAGAGGACGAGGCCATCGAGAGCGGGACCCAAGACATGTAAGGCTCCTCCCATAGCATAGTCAAGGCTTTTCAGTCTGTTCTGGTCACCTTCGTTGAATCGCCATGCATCGCGGGGCGTGTGGATTCGAACTGGGCATAGTCCGCGTTCAAAGGGACATGGTTTACCGATCGATAATATAAGGTCGTCGTGCACCTCACCAACGCGCTCCGACTGTACGTCCCCAAGAGGCAAAGACCAGGTGGAATGAGCACCTTGGCAGCAATGGACCATACGCTATTGTGAGCCCCTTGGTCTTGATTAGCAACGCCATCCTCCGGGCCTTAAGTTACGGCCAGTTCACACGTCGCATGTCCTCCCTCTACCCCTAGGTGCCACCAGCATCGGTGCGCTCATTGTCGCTTGGCGCAGTAGGGTTTTACGAAGTTCTTTCCTCGGAGCAGGCCGACATTATGGATGCAGCAAGGGGTCCACTGACGAGTGTCACAAAAGTAACGGCCCCGGTTGACAACATCGACGCAGACATATTATTTATCTGAATATTTTGTACTGCGAAGCTTGAACTAACTGTGCTAGCTGTTTCCACAGTCATAGCTGCTCCGCAGATGATACCCATCAAGGACAGTTGGTGTGTCAGTTGTAAAAGGCATCGTATCTCGCAGGAGATCATTCCACAAGGCGAAGTGCCCCAGACAGGAACTGAAAGTCGCCCCAGTACTCTCTATCAGGTACGCATGAACGAGCGTCGGCAGTCGAATCGGTGAACACGGTCGAAAAAGGGGTAAACGTTTGAGGGGGATTTGTACTGTTGCAGCGACCGGCGAATTTATCACCCCTTGAACTTGTATATCCTGTTTTCAGAAAGTCTGGCAGAACAGGCTCTGCCGTCTGGCTAAGGAATCCGCACAAAGCCCAATGACTCCCACGCTGCCGTTGCAATCAGTATCTCTGGCGCATCTATTCTTTTCGATCTCGAACGAAGGAGGCTGACTCAACTCTTATACGGCACAAGCAACAAGGCTATCAGCACCAATACTATGCTTTATTCATCATCACCGACCTCGACTATTAGAAGATGCAATAGGAGCCTCTGCATTGGACTATCTGGGCGAAATAGGTCTTAATTCGCACGTGACTAGATCCCTGTGAACAAAACAAATCACTTCTCTCAAAGAAAAAAATAAAAACAGACTTCAACACTGACCATGGCCACATCAGCAACATCTGTCAGTCAGGCTGCATCGCCTGCCTTTACCTTCTCTGCCTCGACCTTCCAGAAACTACATCCTTCAGAATACTTTCGCAAGTTCGTCTCTCAAGGAGTGCGCCCCGACGGACGACTCCTCAACAGCTTTCGTCCAACGACAGTTCACTATGGTGTGATCACCACTGCCAATGGCTCTGCCATGGTTCGCATGGGTGGCACAACCGTTGTATGCGGAGTCAAGGCTGAAGTCACAGAGCCCAAACTGGATGCCCCCAATCAAGGATATCTTGGTGAGTTTTTCTGTCCATTATTTGGTCTCCATAATGTGCTGAACAATCGGAGTGGACATTCGTCTGACTTGAACTTTTCCTTCCTGATATATAGTGCCCAATGTGGATCTTTCGCCTATCTGCTCGAGTGTGTTTAAACCAGGTCCTCCTAGTGAACAGGCGCAGGTGGTGTCAGAGTCGATCAATCGAGTCTTGAAAGAGAGTAACGTTTTGAATCTCAAAGATTTGTGCATCGAGGAGGGCAAAGCCGCATGGGTATTATGGGTCGATGTCGTTTGCGTGAGCTATGATGGAAACATTAATGACGCTGCTCTGACCGCTGTCATGGCTGCCCTCGGAAACGGTAAGTTCCTTTGTTTCTAGTACCGGCCCGCAACTGCTCGACAAAAACGCTGCATTTTTTTTTGTTCTGACAGTATAGGGCATCGACTTTTTGATAGTGCGCATTCGCAAGCCGGCATACGAGGAAGGAATTGTGAAAGTGCCTGGATCAGGAACTGTCAGTAATGAGAACTCATTTAAATTGAGCCTGCTCAGGATGCCGCTGAGCTCATCTTTTGCACTTTTTGATACAACCTTGACTCTACTCGCAGATCCAGACTTTGCAGAGGAATCGATTGGTATGGGTCAAATCACTGTAACTCTCGATGAGCATGGACAGCTGTGCGCGGTCTCGAAAGTAGGCGCTGCAACGAGTTCGCAGGAAGTACTGAAACAGTGTGTGATAAGGGCAAGAGAGCGTAGCCAGGAGCTGCGGACCATTATGAGGCAACAGCACCAATAAATTCACTCGATGCTTCATAGATTATTTGTCCAGAGTAGGATACTTGTATATTTCTTGAAGAAAAGCTTGATATTATGACGAAAAAGAGAAAACATAATGCTAAGTGTGTGTGTGTTTGTATGTATGAGTGTGCGAAGGGTTTATTCAGATTGAAGCGTGGCCTGGAGAGCGCGCTTCACCTGCGCACACTTATCCATGAGCACCTGAACTGCCTGAACCAACAAGTCCTGAGGTTCAATTGACCCAACAGATTCGATCGTAACTAAACCAAGAAAATGTCACGGATAGGAAGTTAGTTCGATATCAGAATCGACTTCCTTGTCACTGCTGTACTGATTCCTGACTTACAGATAAAATGATCGCGGACGCGAGTCAGCTTGACCTTGTTCTCAAACTCGGCATGACGGAGCACTTCCCTTGAAACCGTATCCTTCCTTGGGTTCACGACCACAGCCTTCTTCACACCGTTCTCCTCGATGATATCGACGACACCCTTGGGGAAGCACGACTGAAACTTGAAAGCCGCCTCGCCCGTGATATCCCCATTGATCAAGATCTCTGGCAACAGGCGGTATGTTGCTGTGGCAACAGGCGACCACTTGGCATGATCCTGACCCAGACCCTTTTCACAGTGCACTTCCACGTCGATCTCCTGTCCTGGCCGCAGTTTTGCAATGACAATGTCGTCATGAACGGGCTTAATGGGGCAGTCCTTGAAACGTTCCGCCTGATCTCCCTTGGGGTCCCAAATCAGATCGCCAGAATAAACACTGGAATGGATATACTTCTTGAGAGGGTCTGTCTCTGCGGGTGAAGCCTGGGGGTTGTGTTTGCATTTTGCTGTGAGTCGGAAGACGATCGTGTTGAGATCCGTTGATGTGTCGTCCCTGGCTTTGAAATCGAACTTTGTAGGATCTGCCAAGATGGGCACCAGTCCTAAGCGGTGCGCCAGAACCTCATCCACGACCACTGAGGTATTGTTCATCACGAAAACGTTCGAAATAGCCATTGTTGGGACCTCAGCAATCAAAATTCTTCTAAAGGCATTAGCGATGGCTGCGTCGATCCCGACCATGTCGAATTCCATTTCACTCTTCGAGAGTCGGTTAATCTTGATCTTGAAATTCTGTTATTGACAATATAAGATATTATAGGCCAAAGCATAGAGTAAGAGATGTTATCCAGACCAAGCACAACCGTTCGTCAGTTGTCAGAGTAGATCGATATCTGTTCCAGCGCATACCTCCTTGAACTTTTCAAAGTCCCATGCTAGATTAACGCCTGGATAGTTATGAGGAAAGTCGGTAGAGGCAGCCTAAATGGGTAACATTAGATAACTGTGTCAGCTGCATACGGACTCTTCCTCCTGTGTCCTTATGCGTGCCTTGAGTTAGTCAGTCCTTGACTGCCATCAACCGAAATACATACGCTGGTGACACGGTCCCGTTCGACAATAACGCGAGAGCGCAGAGTCTCCATATCATTGTGCTTGAAATTCTTATTTTCTGCGACCATGACGATGTATATATGGTGCTGATGCTAGTGAACAATGGAGGCGAAAGATGCGGGCACTGGTAGAGCAGAAAAGAAAAAAGAAAAAACAAAAACAATGCGACGTCAGCAGGACTGTTTTTATTATATCAAAAAAGGCAGCGCCCATTTTTGGTGGCAACGTTTTGTTGCCACCAACTCTATTTGAAAACAAGGAAAACGATTGGGATCTGAAGTATGAAGCAAAAGATATTGCAGCGATGCTGGTGGTGTTTAAAACCAGGTTTGCTGACTGCCTCCTGTGCCCTGACCAGCATTCGTGGTCCACATCTCTCGTGGATCCTGGCTTTGTTGTATAAACGGTGGTGGATGGGCCAGATGTGATGGATGAGGGTGAGGGTGGTGGCCAGGATGGTTGTTATTGTAGTTATATGAGGAGGAAGAGTATCCCGCACGGCTACCCGGTCGACTATTATTGTTGCTGTGAGTTCCGTGACCATAGTACGAACCTCCGCCTCCATAAGCCCTCGAGTTCGTTGGGAAGGGCAGATGCTGCGACGGGTGACCTGCGTGATGATCCATGGCCGAACTCCGACCGCTGTTGCTGCCGCTTCCGTAGCCGCTGTTGTAGCCGCTCCCTCCACCATTGTAATATGAAGGTGAGTGATGCGAGGACGAATATGGCAGATGGCCGTAGTTGTGATGATTGTTGCCAACCATCATTTCCTCGTCAGAGTTCTGCAGGAGTTCAACGACACCCTCGACTAGCTGGACCATCGCAGGCTGGTCTAGCCAATCCTTTCCCGACTCGATTGCATGGCTCAATAGCCCCTCCATGTCCATGCCATCGTTCATAGCCGAGCCAGGGCCTAGATCTAGCCCGACTCCATAGTATCCCAGCTGCGGTGACGGCGTCGATCGGTGGCTGTCATTGTGGCTGGTGTATCCTTTCCCGTTCTTGGCCTGCTGCTGTTGCTGTTGGTATTGATTGCGTCCCTGCTGTAGATGACTGTTACGGCTCTTGTGGTCTAAAATCAAGAACATCTTTTCAAACCCATCGGCCATAAGCTCCCGTAACGATCTCAGTGTCCGAATCGTCCTCTCTGATCCATTAAACTTCCACCAGTCATCGACCACTAACTGGTTGTAACCCACGGCCTCGACATCGTTCTCGCCAGCAAAGAGTAGGATCGAGATAGGATCCAATCGGGTGGTGTTTCTCAAAAAGATTTGAGTCTCTCCAGTCCTGACCTTGGTTGAGAATGCATAGAGCGATCCTGGCTCGGGCACCTGGTCGGCGTATAGCATCTTCTCGCCTCTCATCGAGTTCACCGATCCAGGATGTACGATGCACGTGTTATCATGACGAGTGCGATGGATCTTCTTGCTGGTCTTGTACGAGATATTTGGAAACACGCCTGCGCAGATCATGGCACGAAGAAGGGGAATGCAGTTGGAGTTTTTGTTGTATTCGGCCGGTCCCATTTCGAACGAGTTGCCCTGTTGAAGACGTGCTTGGTATGGTAGACTAGCTACAACGCCTGACTTCTCAAGTAATCCCAGCAGTTGAGCTTTCGCACGCTTAACATTTTCAAGAGCCTGTCGACTCAAGAAGTTCTGGTCCGTAAAGTTAAACGATGCCCTGGTTGGGTCGCCACGCTCACCCGTCCGCTCCATCTGTGTTGCCGCTTGAGTCAGCACGTCATTCCAAGCGTTGTAGGCGTTCATCATGGCCAAATGGTCGCTGTTCAAGTCCTTTGCCCACTTCATCTTGGCGCGATCCGCCTATTTTTGTTTATATTAAGATGCAGAGCACTTGCGGTTAAAATAAACACAGGCTTGGGGAACCTGGAAACAGAGTGAATATACGTCCGACTCCACCGACATACCTGCTCTTTCTTCATGAGAGGCGACACAAAGACATCCTTCGTGCCCAAGGAAGCACACAGTGTCAGCACAGGATCCAAACAGCGAAAGACACAGCTCAAAATTAGACAGCGCCCAAAACTGGGCTCTACCGGAAGCGTCGCAAGAACTCTTCCTAGTGGCGTGAGATTCTCGTTTCGGTCCAAGGCACCGAGGGACGTCAACTGCAGTAATGCGTCGGAGACACTGAGCTGATCTGGAGGCTGGATGGCCTCAGCCAACACATTAGCGATTTTAGTCGAGCTATCGACAGATTTGATGTGCAGACAAATCTCTTGAAGGTCGGACCGCAGCATCTCCGGGATCGAAAAGGCATCCAAGAGTTCGCGCCGCTGCAAAGACATCATGCAGTAATACTGTCCTTCCTGAACGCGGCCAGCGCGTCCAGCCCTCTGCTTCAAGCTTGAGGCGCTGATCCAGGTTGACAAGAGCGTCGTCATCCTCTTGGTTGCATCGTAGTTGGTTTCCTTGACCTTGGCGCTGTCGACAACGTGAACCACATCCTGAATTGTAATGCTGGTCTCGGCAATGTTGGTGGCGAGAATGATTTTTCGCATGTGCGGATCTGGGAGCGGCTCGAAAACCTCTTGCTGCGATATCGATGGCAAGGTCGAGTGAAGCATGTGAATCTTGTATTTGTTGGCGTCGTTATAGTCAATTCCGAGAGGAGACATATTCAAGAGCTGGCGTTGCACTTCCTGCATCTCCTCCCAGCCTGGGAGGAAACAGAGAATCGCCCCTGTGGGCGGACTTGTCTTGACAATATGAGAGATCGCCATGGCAATCAAGTATGCAGGGACCTCAGCATCCAGGATTTCGTCGCGTGGCATCCTGGAAACACGCCTGGCCTGATTCAGAATGCTCTCGGCATAGTCCAACTCACTGTCATCAACATCATCCTCTTCGTCGTCGCTGTCATAATGCTTAACTGGCCTGTCGGCGTTGGTCGCATGGTGGGGCTGAAGAGGACCCACGGGCTGGATGTTCATCTCCCGTTGAATGTACTTGTTTGTCTGCTCGTGCCTTGAAAACTGGGCCATGGCCGAGGGAGGATGCTGCCGATACATGGCATCCAGAAGATCGTTCAGAAAGTGTTGCTGGACGGGGAAGGTTCGACCCGGGACAGAAATGGACGGGCACTGCCCATCCCTGAAGCCTTCCCCGAAATACGATGCAAATAAGCCAGTATCGATGGTCGCACTCATGAGGATGAGTTTGATAGCAGGAAGTCCCCTGGCTCGACGCTCGCGCTGCATCTGTCGCAATAAAACCAGCAGGAAGTCCGTGTCAATGTCACGCTCGTGAACCTCGTCGACTACAATGTGGCTCACACCTCTGAAGGGATCGTGAGGTGCGGCTCCAGAGCCGTCAGATCCTGCCGTTACAGATACGCCAGCGCCGCCTTCGTTATGCATCATTCTCAAAAAAATACCGGTGGTGCAGTATAAAATCGAACCACCAGATGTTGGGGGCTGACTGTCGAACCGAACCTGGTAGCCAACTGATTGACCGACTCGCTCTCCTCGCTCAACTGCAACACGCTGTGCAACAGAGATGGCAGCGATCCTGCGAGGTTGGGTGCAGATGATGTTGCAGACTCCACCTTGACGGTTCTTAATATAGTCCTCCAGAACGATCTGCGGCAGCTGGGTCGTTTTTCCGCATCCAGTCTGACCTACTAGTACAATGACATCGTTCTCCCGGATTTTGCTGGTGATCTCCTCTGCGTACTGTGCGATTGGTAGGGCTGCTCTGCTCTCGCGAAGTTTGGCCAACGAAGGATTTTTCTGGTACGCAAGATACTGATCGTAGAGGCGCGCAGATTTTCCTGCCACTTGATCCGTATCCAGTTTGCCGACCAAATGACGATTGTGTCTTCTACCGTTGTTGATTTGAAATCGCTGTTGCCCTTGTTGCTGTTGCTGTGGCGAATGCTGCGAGTGAAGCTTATTTTTCTCGCTAGCCAAGTCTGTCGAGACCTTGATATCCAGCTGTGGACGCCGAACGGTGAAGAAGGGCTGACGACTGAGGTTGCTCAACATGTATTCGATATCCTGCCGCATGTTCTCGTCCATTCCGACATGGATGTTTGGTGCGGCTCTGACCACATCTGCATGCTTGCCTTTGCTGTCCTTTGTAGAGTCGAATTGCTGCCAAATTGCCTGCGACTCTTTCTTCATGTTAATGGCGGCGTCGACATAGGCATGGTGCTCCGCCTCCTTCTTGCTTCGCTTCTTACCGATACCCATAACCCGATCCTGGACAAACAATTCTGCTTGCCACAGTGCCTGATGAGTCTTTCCTGAGCTGTGATAGTCGATGTAGGGCGGTCCCAGAGAAAAGGTGCGGATGTAGTAATCGACAAACTTTTTCGCAGTCTCGATGGTAAATCCCGACTCTTCGATCGATCCTGCCTGCGGCAAAATGGCGTCTGCTCCTCGAGCAATTGCGGTCTGTTGGAATTGTGCAGCCGCTCCCAACTCGGCTTCCTCGATGCTTTGTCCCTTACCCACACCCACAAGGCCGTCGTACTTGAGGATCGAGGTAACCGTCTTGGTATTGGGATCGACCTTGTTGTCGTATTTTGGCAAGCCGAGCTTCTTGTTGGTGAAAAAATTGACTGCCCAATCCTTTGGCGACTTTGCAATGTTCTTTTTGCCGCGCCCGTAGTGGCGATAGTACTCAATCAACGAGTGCTTTTCGAGTTGGTAGCAGAGATCGAGCGCGCAGATTTTTTCAGCTTCCTTTTTGTTCTTGCCATCGCCGCAGCCGATAATGATTAGATCGGGATCAGGAGTCTGGACTTTAAACTCCATTCTGACCCAGTTCATGGGCAATCCTGGGATAGACACGATCTCGAACTGGGGCGGGGGTTCAATTGCCCTGCAGATGAATTGAAGGTAGTTCTTGGGATTGTCCCACCATCGCTCGCCCTTTTCTGCTATGCTGTCAGAGTGATCGGTTTTGTAGGTGGTATCCAGATGGTGTTGGTCGTAGAGATAAATGCGCTCCTGCTTGACAGGAGGAGATGCGGCAGATCGACCTCCAGCTCCTCCACCTCCTCGACCGCCTCCTCGACCGCCACGCCCGCTGAGCCTGTAGGTCGAACTGTTATTGCTGTTGTTGCTATTGCGGCCATTTCCAATGCTGTTATGCTGGTGATTGTATCCTCCCCTGGCATGGGATGATCCACGTCCGGGAGGGTTCCAGTTGCTCTCGGTCGGGGCATCAGTGTGGTCCCATGATTGATGGCCGCGGTGTGGTGGATGATAGGGAGAAGAAGAATTAGACGGTGCGTTGTCAGCGCTAGGACATGGTCGTAGATAGTGTGGGTGGTTGGGATTGTTGACGTTGCTATTGTTGTAGTTGGGTGTTCGATGCGGTGGTTGATAGCGCGGTGGCATCGTTGAAGTAATCTGCGAAGGCTTCTTGAGGAAGTGCGAAGAAGGCGACCCGGAAGACAACTTGATAGCGCAAAGCGTATGCTAGGCAAAATCTCTGTAAGCAAGGAAAAAAAATGGAAAAGGATGCTATGGTCAGATCGAGAATTTGAATCGGAAGAAACGTTGTTTGTGTGTTCGGGACGAAGAGCAAGGACGTGTATGTGCGTGTGAATGATGGCTGAATGTAGTTGCATACCTACAAGGATGGAATGGATAAAAAAAATAGGATAAACAATGCCAATTGCTTATTTCCATGCGATGAAGAAGACAGGCCTGTGAAGAGGAGGAGTAGGGATGATCGAAGGTGGAGTGGAGAGAAGTGGGAGTGCGGTCTAGGTGTGGATCGTAAAAGATCAGTTATTGTGAAGGGCGTGCAATTAAGGGACTGAGAGACCATGCATTTAGAGAACGGAGAATGACCGCAAAACACAAATTGGTGGCAAAAAAAATCCGTGGGTCTAGCGCGGGCGGTTGTGGATGTTTCAGGCCTCGCCTATAAAAAAAACTGGTATCCAATGGCTTGTTATGAGTTTAGCGCGATGAACCTAAGCTGTAGGCCCAAGACACCATAGCAGAATTGCATTAATAAGAGATCTAGTGCGTTCAATCCTGACGACCAGATACTGCTCAATGCTGCCCTGGCCAGCCATTCCCTTGAAACGAGTTCATCTTTCGCCTGGCCAAGACAGGAACTAGGCTATGATGCCAAAAATACTTCACTCGAGTCCTACACTTCTAGCGCACTCTCGATCGAGAAGAGCATACCTTCACCTACGCCAAAGGTTAGATAACCAGCAGGGAAGGGACCGGCAGCTACGCCTGGAAAGACGAACATGCTATTGACAACCGAGTCATTATCCTCGCTCTCGATATTTTTGAAGTATCCGCCGTTGAACTTACAGACACATGGTTTCTGAATCGATATCTCCTGAACATAGAGGCTTACAAGAAGGCGATATTAATTGGTGAGACGGAAATTGAAGCAAGTTGATCTTCTGGCGTCAAGGCTAGCCAATCTATCTAAAGGACTTGCTGCCCACATCAAGCACGGCAACAGCGACGCTATTCAAAAAATACATTAAAGCGAGTTCAACGGTTTGGTGGATCAATTTCTGGAGATGGTAAAAAGAAGTCTGAGAGAGAAAAGGGGTCCGTTGGATTTGGTCGCTCAATACTAAGATTGCCTTGACATCCATGCACAGCTTCTTTGTCAAGTTTTTATTTTTATTTTTATTTTCGCGATAAGTCTTTACTTGGTCTTTAGTTCATTAGTCCATTCCGATTATCTGCATCTACTTTCGACGTTTATTTGGACAGATGTTAGGCATGGCCGCTCGAGAACGTCGTCGTCCGCGTTCATGGGTTTGATACCTCCATGTGCCGCTCTAGCTACCGTCGTCAGGGGATGGGGTTACTCTATTACGCCGCAGGATTCGTGTTCAACATCGGCATATTCTTTGCTCATGAGATATCTTTTCTTGAATGACACATTGATCCGTACCCTGACGGAATCTAGAGCCAACTCAGGTATCCATAGATGAGTCCACAGTGTTCAGGACTTGCCCCAGGTTTACAAAATGACCCTTCGCTTAATGTCAGTAGCCTAGACAATGTGCTGCTTTGTGGACATCGCTTCGTTGTCCTACTGTGCATTTCCTCTTTCATAGCGAGAGGCACAATTCGGTCAATTATTCTTTCAGTGAGATGCTCTTTCATCTTCCGTCAGGATTAACGCAAGCAGAAGAGTGCGTGCCTCAGATGCGCTAGTGCATCCTCCGACTCACGTAATCAACCCGGTATCTGTTACTGTTGTGATGCGCCGGGCTAAGTGCTGCAATTTTCTGATATCTGAAATACCATGCGAAGAGGATGGTTTTGGCGTTTCTTGTCAAGAATGCGAGAGAGCCCCATTTGATCATTGAGGCTGGCCACAGTCTCTAGAGCCTTCTGAGGTTCACTAGTGAGGAGTCTAAGTCTGTTCTCCAATTTTGCTTCGTGTAATTCACGCCCAGTTGATTTTTGGGCCGCCAAGTTAAGCATAACGCATAGGAGGATTAGTATGAAAACAACATGTATGTCGAAATTTCAGACGACACACGACATAAATATCATAATACGAAGCACACTCCTGACTTAGCGAGCAAGTAATGATCTGAGGAGCGGATGCCATGGCCAATGCCTGTGTGGGGGAAATATCAAGGAACCACAGGCGCATCCTTTCCAACGCGTAGCAGTAGCCGGTCGGGCATGCCGACTTTTGTGGGTTAGGTTGCCCTGATTCTTGCCGGCCAGCTGCATATGCAACACCACCAAGCTGGGAGAGAAGATGCGACAAAGTAGCCCAGAGAGTGCGAGCAGTGCAGGTGCGCGCCATCGATTGAAGAAAGGGATGTCGAGCGAGCACGATCAGATCAGTCTATTTTGGCTCCCATCTCCCAGCCTCCTAGCAAATGGCGTTCGTGCCAGAGAGCGGCTTCAAGGACGCGCATTTTACCATAACCGAGCATATGCTTATCCAAGCTTTGTTTGCTGACCGCAACCAAGCCAAGCAGGATATGGTCGTCAACGCACTGGGAGGAAATAAGGCACAGACGCTAGATCAAGCATCCAGGCACCCAGGAGACTTGTTCTTTAGCCTCCAGATTTTAAGTTGCACTCCGGGGTCCAAGCAATCGTGTGTTCCAATATTGCCACCAGCATCAGTGCCGGCGCCAACAGTAGCCACTGTCGACCAATGCACCACCTGGAGATCGCTACGCTTTTCGATCCAGAGACACATTGTGTCGCTGCTGGAAGTGCATTGACAACTCCGTTCCTTCTATTCATCAGCATTGTTCAAGGTAAAGAAGTGGCACCTCAAGCAGGCGAAAGGAGCAACCTTCGACAGGGGGATTTCACAGGTAATGAACGCCACTGGGTGCAGCGGGAAGTGGCAGCCAGGAATAACAAGACCGGTGTTTGTGGTGGGGGATGTAGAGTTTGGAAACAAGAAGGACCCCGTTTCGTACCCACAATTCAGCAATTCATAATACCCTTGAAGGTAGCGCGACTGCACGAACTTGATGATAGTGGTTTTGTACAAAAAAAAAGATATAGCACCACTACGGTACGCATAGGTGATGGCCCATAACATGCTCATAGTCCATGCCGATGAATGGAGGACCTCTATAACATGTTGCCAGTGCGGTGCATTAGGAAAGGTTGAGGGTCGGGCCATCAAGTGCCAATAAATACAATTATGAGAGAGATCGAGACCATAACGCTGGCCACAATATGGCTCGCGCCGCCCTCTGTATTGTAGAGCGCCAAGAGCGGTCTTCGGAGCTAACGGATCCACAGCAACAACAACAACAGCAGCAGCAGCAGCAGCAGCAGCAACAGCAACACTAAGCGCCGTGTGGAGCGGCAGTGTAAAAAAGAGCTGTGTCACTATCAGAAAATTGACCCTGAGAACTTAGACGGAGCATGGGATTCCTGATCAAGGACTAAGACAAGCCGCAGTGGTCCAAGGGTACCCTGAACTCAATTGACATCCTACACTCACACCTCGTACTTCAGCGATACCCTTCCCTTTCCCTCCAACAAACATATAAAGTACTGAACCGTGCCGCGCCGTGCGAATGCTCTATCACGCTTTGCGACTCGCCTGGTACGAAGGACATACACCACCGCAATCATGTGAAGGTGGCCTCATCCCTGTAGTCATCTCGAGATTATTAACGCGTACAGGCGTTTAATCTCCCATGTCCCCCTTGTTAGCATAACCGTTTCCTCGTTCAAGACATGGAAAGCCGTGGTTGACTCGAGCAACAGGGCTGTTGCACGGAGGTACATGTTCCTCTGGTTTCTGACCCTGACCGGACTCTCACTCGAGCCTATCGTTGACTCGCTTTTGGGCCATTGGTAAGCCCCCAAGATATAATAAATAAGGATTGCGGTCGCCAGCTCGAGAGTAGGGGCTAGTCTAACAGCTGTGCCCATTGGGTCTCTTTTGTCGTATAGGATTCCGATGTACGAGGGCCTCAAGATCACTGTCGCAGGGTGGCTACTTTTGGCACACTTTTATCTAGCAAAGCCCATAAGCTCCGATGCCGCTGATACGTACTGTACACTACAGGACCACAGTCCACATCTCATTCGAACACAAAGCACCCTCAGCGCGGTCTCCGCTGGCAGCCAGAGATCGTATCAAACAGCTGCATCGAGGCAATTGCATGGCCAGCAGCGGTCAACTCCTACCTTGAGGGAAAATGGAACGATCTCCTCCGCTTCAAATCTGGATTTTGGGCGGTTCAAGAGGGACCTCGAGCGGAGACGGACGTCCCATTCTGTCCACTCTGCAACAGCGTATGCCCTCAATCACAGCCCAGTAATCAGCAAATCGCAGATCAATGCAGCAGATTTCTACCCAACAATCTCGGCTTCCGCGTTAGCCAACCCGTTCCATGTACCAGCAAAATCCACAGTAGACAACAGAACCACATTTGGTCTCGCCGGTGCAAAAGCCGCTACAGAGGCAATAACGGCCCTTGGCAATAGAGTCCCTCCTGTCGATACCTTTCAGTTTGGAGAAACATCAGCTAGTCGAAAAAGATCTCTTTCGGCAGTGTCATCCCACATCAAAACTCAAAGATCAACCACCGGGCAGAGTTCTCGACGTCGAAATTCGGATCAATCCTTTCGCCCGACTGCCGACCCTGCCGATACACTGGCATCCAACTCTAGGATGACCAAGCGGCTAAAGCAGCTACTCAGGGAAGAGCAGGTCGATGAAACTACGCACGGGGAAGCTACCTCACAGGATGGACTACTAATGCCTTTGCAAACGATCGAAAAGAAACAACACAACGCACACGGGGATATATCAGCTCAACCAACGACCTTCATCAGATCAAAGCCGCCAGGAAGGAACCGCAAGAAGCTACTTTCACACCCCCGGACATTAACTGTATTACATAATGCGCCTCTGCAACAACAGAACAGCGCAGACAAACGAAAGCTTGTCGGCGCCTTATCTCCTTTGATGGTCGGTCAAGCTGATAAGCGGAAATCAAGGGCTGGAGCAGCCAGTTTTGATTCACGGATGAAGAATGTCCGGGACTGGCTCAAGGAACGGAATCCATCGATGATCTCCCCCCCACTCAGCGCAAACTCGGAGCTTTCAATAGCCACCATCACTCGCGCTAATAGACAGTCTTCGACAATCTTGTCTCCAAAGATGGTGGGAAGCACTGGCGAAATAGATGGACTTCACAAGCCCCACAAGCGAAAAGCATTTCGACAGCTCGCACCATCAATGGGCTCCAAGAAGCTGGCAAGGAATGAGGGAGAGAACTGTAGAAGAGGCGCAGAACAAGGTGGAACATATCCGCCATCGCATGAAACAATCGTCTCAATCCCCCGACCACAGCTGATTTCGCATTCATCCGAACTTTCAGGAACCCTACACCGTGAATACACCAACAAAAGTGCCGTAAACAGTAGTGATAGCAACAACATCTATACCAAGGCTCATGACCCATTACGCGACCAGCCTGAAACAGACTCTTTCTTCCCGCCTGTCAACTGGAGTCGATTTCAGCAGCAAGACAGAGCTCGACCTCATACCCGTCCCCCACCCTCAGTAGTAGATGCGGATGCTCTTCCTTCATCAGAATTTACCTTTAGAATGACTCCAACGCAGATATCGAACCAAGCCTTTACGCGTACCATCGGCGGTCGTGATGCCGACGGCGTCGCTATCTCCCCATTGATTAGGCTCCGGCAATCCCAGCTCAAACAGCGTCAGCAGGAAGACTTTTTGGGCATCAAGGCGGATAAAAACTCTTCTTCAAGGCGTGCTGCCGAGAGCGGAGGTCTTACATTCAATGAGACGCTAGAGGCATGGGAGAGGGAGGACGACGAAGAGTTGGCCAGGAATGCAGCTCGTGAGGAAGCAGAAATGGAAGCGTTAGGGCAGCACCAGGATGGATTCCTGTCATCATCATCTCTGGAAGAAGATCGAAAGGTTAATCCAGTTGCCAGCAACACTTCAGCCTCTAGTTTACTCAGGACTGTGCCATTCAATGGTGAATCCTCAAGGCGGCCCGAGCCAAGCTTTAATTCAATGAAGCCGCTTCAGGAACCAGCAGCCAAAGACTCTGGAGACGCCGTAGCGAAGACCTTGCCATCGTCACTGGACCGGCAGCCGTTTAATATTCATGGCTTCTCTAGCAGTCTTGGCAGGCCTGATGATCGACATAGTGTTTTGGTCGCCTCTGAATCGGCTCCTGAACCTCGGTTGTTCTCGAGCACTAGCCAAAAGGAAGATACCTACAATCGCCGTCAAAAGCGTCCAGGATTATACACACCCAGCAAAAAAAATCGGACATTCGATGCCACTACGCTGTTGGATCGTGTCCCACCGCAATCGCCCCAAACATCCACGCCCACCGTCATGAACAGATACATCCAGCTCTCCTCATTATCGGACGAGGAGTGCACTTAGTTCATACCAATGCATTTTTTCTGTACTCAATAATAACAATGACAGTGACAATGGCAATGACAAACCATACCATGTGCATTATTGCGTGCAGATGAGGTGAGAATATATTTCAGAGAATAGAGAAAAAAAAGGGCATACGACCGTCTATGTTTACATGAAGTTTGTTTTACTTGGTACGCTTGTAGATGCGCTTCATGAAGGACGTGAAGACGTCCTGGCTCAAAAGAGGATGGTCGACCTTAGCGATCAAAGCGTTGATGCGGGTGTAGGATTCTTCCTCGTATGTCTTGAAGAGACCCTCAACATCAATCTCTCTAAAGACCTCCTTGACAGCAACGACATTGGCGATCTCACGGTGACCATAGTTCTCCTGTTTCATACAGTGGGAGTAAACGGAAAGCAAAAAAAAGCGAACATTAGTCATCGGGGACGCCAAATGTCGCAAAAAAACGGGAAAAGACTGAGTGGACTTACTTCGAGGGTCTTGCGCTGCTCAGGGGTAGCTTTGGCAAGAGCCTGGTTGATCAGCCACGAACACTTGTTGTCCTCGATATCAGTGCCGATTTTACCAATAGTGGCTGGATCGCCGTAGCAATCCAAGTAGTCGTCCTGGACCTGGAAGTACTCGCCGAGAGGCAGAAGGATATCTTCGGCTTGCTTGAAGGCAGCCGGGTCCTTGACGCCAGCCTAGATAAGAACGAGGATTGATTGATTGGACAGAATATATGATCAGATCGGGAACAAAGAGGCGCTGTAGGTTGGCACGTAGACAAGGATCAAGACAGAAAGGCATACCATGTGCATAGCAAGGGCAACAGGGAGGTAGAAGGAGTAATAGGCAGTCTTGTAAATGACAATGAAAGAGTGCTTCTCAATCGAGAACCTGTTGAGATCGACATCATCTTCGGGAGCAGTAATCAGATCCAACAACTGTCCCAGCTCGGTCTGGTAGGTGGTCTCATGGAAGAGCTCGAGAAGATCGACGTAGTAATCGTCTTTCTTGAAGTGTTTCTTCAAGAAGAAGTAGATGGCGGACTCAAGGATGAAGGCGTCGTTGATAGCGATGCTGCCAACGCCGTCCTATTAGGCAAGTTAAAGATAACAGGAATTTTTTAGTATTGACAGATGCACACCCAACTCCATGTCGATGTAATCGCAATCCTTGAACGCCGTCTACTTACAACGCGGTACCAGCAGGGCTGGCCACGGCGGGTCTTGGAGTTATCCATGATATCATCCGAGACCAAGAAGAAGGCTTGGAGCTAAGAATCAAGAAAATAGCGAGTCCGTTAAGTTGGCTAACTAAAGATGGTTCCCATGGCCATGTTGTAAAGTGTTTCCAAGCAAGTTAGTAGACATTCCACATACCCACTCAATGCACCAGCCCAAGAGGTTGGCCTTGAAGATCTCCTCTGCCGACAAGGGCTGACCACGCTTGAGAATGCGAAGGGTCTCTGCGACGGTCAAACCGCGGTTCATCTTGCCTGAGAATGAAGAGAAATATCAGGTCAGCTTCTTGCTGCCTCAGAATTCATTGGACCCGATATGGCCTGATCTGGCCAAGGACACTTGCACAGCCAGGCGACTCACCTCCAAGGACATTGTGGCGCATAGACTATATGAGAAAACGAAGCAATCCAACGGGCAAAGATAGAGAAAGGGTGACGACAGAAGTAACAGCAATTCAGGCACCAGTGTGGGAATAAAAAACAGGGATGCGGAGTAAAGATGATCAGTAGAAATCAAATCGCAACGAATGGACATGGCTCCAGATATGGTCCCCTCCCGGTCCAGCGAGGGTTTAGTTCAATCCAACTCAGTCCAGCATAGATTCGTACCCTGTCGAACCACTCGATGGCATTCTGGGGGATGTTGAGGGATCGGAGGTGGGCGAGCAGCTCCTCGGCAAGGACGGGGAAGACATCCATGAATTCCTTGTAGGCGTCAGTCATATTATCGGGTTTGGTCCAGTGCGAGCAAGAGTGGGAGTGTGTGGTGTTGTGGTGGAAGAGAAGGAAAAGAGAAAGAGAGAAAGAAGGAAAGAAAAAAGGATGGGGATGAAGAAAAGTTGAGGAATGACTCTTGATCGTCAGTCGTTGTGTTGTGTGTGGGTAGAGTGAGCATATATCAGGCCATTGCAGATTTTCTTATTTCTGTGCCTGACAGTATGGGGCGTCCTGATTGGCTGACACGAAGATCAGACAACTTGACGGGCTGGAGACGCCTAATCTCCGCAAGTATGGAGACTATCGGGCGATGCTTGAGAGTTGCCGCTGCTACACGTTCCACGTCCACAATGAGCATTATCGACAAAAGTCATTGAACATGTAGTTTTTATTTGATGTTTCTTTACACGACTGCTATAGATGCTGTCTTAATTCTGTGTTCCATACATCGAGCTAATCGAGCAGTGAGCTCTGCCGATATGCTGTAGGCTGCAATGGCGCGTATCCACCCTGCGCATATTGTGGCTGCTGCGGCTGCAAGGGTTGTTGCAATGACGGCTGCTGAGCTGGCTGCTGTTGATATCCCCCTTGATACGACTGCTGCACCTGCTGTTGTGATGGCATTGGTTGTTGTTGTTGTTGTTGTTGTTGTTGTTGATACTGGACCTGGGCCATCCGTTGGTGCTGCGGTTGAAGCTGCTGCTGTGTTTGAAGCTGTTGCTGTGGTTGAAGCGACTGCTGGAACTGGGAATGAGGTGGGGTGGGTGTGGCCGTAGGATATGGATTATACAATCCCTGCTGGAATTGACCACTAGACTGAGGCTGCTGTATCTGAGGACGATACATGGGCTGTTGCTGATACGGTTGCTGCCGCTGATATGACTGTTGTCGCTGCTGTTGCTGAGACATTGGCGCTTGCTGTTGCTGGAGGGGCACCTGTGACAATGGCTGCTGCTGCTGCGGCTGGAACTGCTGCATTGCTGACTGATAAGGACTCTGAGATTGCGGTTGAGGCTGTTGCTGTAGAGGTTGCTGATACTGTGGTTGAATCGGCTGCTGATACTGGCCCTGAGGCGTCATAGGTTGGTATCCCGAAGTCGAGGAAGGCACTTGTTGCTGGTACTGCACCTGGGGCTGATATCCAATATTCTGTTGCTGTGGCGTGCTCAGAATAGATGATGTCTGGTATGGTTGCTGGAGAGGCTGGTACTGACCCTGAACGATCGGCTGCTGTTGCGAATGCTGATGCTGAGGAGACATCAGTTGCGGTTGTGAATGCTGTTGCTGAACACCGTATGGACGCGCTATTTGCTGTACTGGCTGTTGCTGCTGTGGAGTAGAGCTAGGTAATGTATAACTCGACTGGCACTGCAATGACTGAAGAGACTGGATTGGTGTTGGGAATGTTGGAAGAGAGAATGGCCCGGTGTTAGGAATAAGCATTGAGTTTGCCTGTTGCGGAGTCGCCTGCTGAGGTGATGTTGTCGATCCTTCTCCATAACCAAGAGGGGCATTTGCTGTTGGAACCGTCGATGGCTGTGGGGCATAGGGCAAAGCAGCCGATGAAGATCCAACGGGATCATACGCAGTAGGGGCTGGCGCCGTAGGCGTCCACTGTGGCACAGATGGGGCAGCCGGCGTAGAGCTTAGTCCTCGAGGCACTCCAAGACTTAGGTTGGTCAATGCATCGATAGGCAGCGAGCTAATTGGTGGCGAGGACACTCCACCAAACTTTGATAGCTGGTCTTTTAGTGCTCTGGATTCCCGCTCTGACTGCGTAGCCAAAACCTGGCGCTCAATCATGTCGCGTTCCTCCTTTCTCGAGCGACAGAACTGGTCGATAGCCTTGATGAGATCCTGCACTTGCACATTCAGATCCTCGTAAAAGCGAATCCCGTTCTTGTAGCCATCCTTGACAGCAATGAAAGTGGGCCTGGTCTTTAGCAGCTGCTCTGCCAATGATTGCCGTTTCCTCTCTGTGGTGTCCCATACTTCCTGAAGACTCCGCGCTTCCTGGCCATTCATGAGCTCCTTGTAGTACGTGGTTAATTCCTGCATAAGCACCTGTTGGTGATGGATGGTTGCTGTCACCCGCGTTTGGTGCGGCCTGAACTTTTCCAGCTCCTGCGCAAACAACTGAGGCTCGATGCCAGAGCTCTTCTTATTCAGAATTAAAAGGTTTAAGATATCATCTTGCTGGGTCTATTATGATACAGAGGAGTGGTATCAGCGGAGTAGATAATAAGCAAAGCAAAGCATACCGCTTTCTAACTTTTACCAGCCAGTCGACGCATTCTATTACCTTAACTTTCAAGTCTTCAAGGGTATCCATGCGCTCCTGCTTCAGCTTTTTGAGCTTGGCAATCACTTCCTCCACCTTGGCAACAGTTCGCAGGATGGCTTCGCTTTCGCCGCTGTCCTCGACGTCCAGCAGACTGTTGTCCGACTTTGCTGATCCCTTCCTCATCTTGCTTGCCTCAACAACTATCTTGGCAAAGAGCTGCTCAAGAGCTACACCTTCACGCCCTTCACGCAGTACCATGACACTATTGGCGATTTGGTCAAAGGACCGGTACAGGCTGTGATCCGATGCAGAGGCCTTATCGATGGACTCCGACAAGGCTTTGGAGTCTGTCCTGAAGACCTGAGTTAAGGGCCCAGAAGGTCGCTGCGTCCAAAGATCTGCATACTTCGCCTATAGTTCAGTCGTGATGAGCAAACAGTCAGTGTCTTTCTGACAGTAATCACCATCATTAGCTCCCTCCTGTACCCATGGTCGTGATGTCTTAGTGCCCGCTTACCCGCATCGCCTCACATCGACTACGCTCCTCATCTAACGACAAATTGGCGTTCTCGAGGGCTTCCCTCGTCCCTGCCTTGATCCGATCCAGGTTTGCAATCATATCAGCAATGGACTCGCCGCCGTTCTCCTGGACCTGAATAAAGTCCGCGTATTCTTTGACAGAAGACGGTGGCGAGGCGAGGGTATCAAGTGTGACATGCTGACCTCCGTTCGCCCCGTTCTTAAATTTGTCGAGACCTGCAGGAAGGTTCATGAACTCAAGTGCACTGGCTAGCTCTTGATTAGCCGTCTCGCATTTTTCTGCCTCTGCGCGTACGAGCTTGGCCTTTTCCTCCGAATATAAACTTGATGATTCGTGGACGGATAGCGGAATCAGCCGCTGGAACGTGTCAGGGCCGATCACCTTTTGCATTTCGCTCTGAGAGTACAGCTCTGAGATAGGTAGCGGCTTTGTCGCGTTCAGCTTCTCTAACGCTGCTAATGACCCCTCGCTTGGCACCGCCTCGTGATAGATCATGTCGTTGTCGCGTATAGCCTGAGCCTTCGTTTCCGTAATGACTGCGAGGTGGGACTTTGTGATGTCATGGATGGAGTTAGCCGCCTCTTGTGTAAGCGTGACAGTCGGGTGGGAGCTTTGGGTAAAACCAGAGGAGAATGCCTTGGCCTGCTTCTCAGCGTCTTTGATGGCAGTCTCTGCGATTTGAATTCTGCTCACCATTTCGCCCCACTTTGAGTCTGACTCTGCAGCAAGTGATCGATAGTACTGAGCAATGGCAGTGAACAGCTTGGCCTTGATCTATAAATCGATTCATGCCAAAGGAATGTATTCGTCATTAGATTCCAGATTGCAATTGAACAGTTAAGAAGACGGGTGAAGACAATCCGTCCTGCTCTTACTTGACAAAGGGTTTGCCAATTCTTCTCAAAGACCTGCTTGGACACTCCATCAGCCATGGCCTCAAGTGTAGACTGATAACCCCATGCAACCTGAGCGGCCAGTTTGGAGATGAGGAGGGGCTTCTTCTTTTCGGCGAGTGTCTTTTCCCAAAAGACCTCTTGTGCTTGAGCAAGCATCAATGTGACAAGCATCTTGACAGTATCCCGACTGAGGTCGACGGAGGGTGCGTGCAAGAAGTTCTCGTTGATGTATGTGTAAATTCCGGCTGCAGCCTGATAGAAATGGAATGCCTTCTTAACGCCCTCTGGCTCGTTAGTCCTGGTCTGCGACGTGGCAATTGCGGAAAGAACTGAGGCGATGTTGAAGATTGTGCTTGCTTTTTCAAAGGCTAGAGAGTACTGTGAGGTCGGTCTTTGCGTAAACGCGTCGTACCTAACAGAAGAATAATAATAAAGACGCAACCGGTCAAAAACCAGCTACTCGTTTTATTCCAAGAGATGCATTCACGCCAAGACTTTTTTTTTTTTTCCCCCGAATTTACCACATGAAGCCAATCTTGATATGAGCCTCGTCGACGGGAAAGCGCAGGTCGAGGATCTCAAGCTGACCAAAATAACGGTAGAGGACATCTCTGCCAGTGATATCGTTGCCTGCCCCACGCATGTCCTGGCGCAAGCGATGGATAGTTCCTGTCTCTTCGGCATACTTTTCGGGATCGTCTTGGTACGAGACTGCGATGTATCTCTTGAGCGGTGTCACCCAGTCGACCTCGTCCGTCCTCTTGAGAGGAACGGCAATCATGGGAGACTGCGACATTTCGTGACAGAGCAGGGGAGAAAAGACCAGAGCAAAGAAAGAGGAGGAGAAGGCGTGTGTGGTGAGAGGCTGGCTGATGTTCGATGTCAAGAAGTAACGAATCAAAAAAGATAGGAGGAATGGCGGTGGGTCGACCCATGGTCCTTTGGGGGGTTCTTTTTTTGTGGCACGTGTTCAGTAAGCAGTGCTCGTTCGCCGCAGAGGCCCCAGATAGACTGGTTTGGCCCCCACCTGTTGGGGGTATCACGACGCCAAAAAGACAAAAAAGGATTCGTTCGCTTCCTTTCTTTTTCTTTTTTCTTTCAGCTCTCCTTCATTGAACAACTTCCTTGGCATTCCATCCTATGGCTACTCATACTAACAATCCAACTCGGTTTAGGCTCCGTGTCAGGGCTGGATTAAGCGCTGGCCCCAAGGACCTCAAGCCCATCCCTGTCAACGACGATGCCAACCCAGCCTTGATCGAGTCCGAAGAGTTTATTGGCCAGATCGTCGTCCGCATCCGTGGATTCGATAAGACCCTGGGCTACGCAGAGGGTCAGAAGCAGGATGGGCTCAAAACCGTGCCCGAGAGCCTATGGTTCCACTTGCCTGGCGGTGGCAAGAATCTCTGCTCCATCCAGATCTCCTGCAGATTTAAGCGGGAATGGGGCGGAGACCAGGTCATCTTTGGGGTATGTCTGTCTACCAACGAAAATCACTGACGACATCATGCGCCGCTTGGAACCAACCCCACTTGGCCTGACTACATCCCTTTTTCAGCATCCATGACATGTGCGAAAATGTATGAGATGTCATACTTACGCGCGAACCTCATGTTTTACTGTCTGATATAGAACCAATTCGAGAGGCCATTGAAACTGCCGCCATTTTCTTCAGTCGCCCTCAAGTTCATTCAGTTTATTGACCCTGGACTCAAGGCTGATATCTACTGCGATCGACCCTGGGCGTTCAGTCCTCTGATCGCCACCATGAATACCGTCAATGTCTCGGGATGGCATATCAATCCAGCAACACAGAAAAAGGTCGAAAATCAAGGTCAGGAAGGCGACAAGAAGAATCTTGAAAATGAACTCCCACCCTGGCCATCATCTCAAGGCGAACATATTATCGAAGATACCAGTCTCCTCTTCAGCGAGGGCGTACAAAAAATGGAGGCAGAGGAGGAAGAGAGAAGAAGGGCGCAGGAGCAGGAGGAAGAAGAACAAGGGAATGACAAAGAGGAGCTTGTCGAGACAAAGTCCGGCAGCGCCTTGACAGCGACGCCAATGAACCTTGATTCAAGCGCGAGACGATCATTCTTTGCTAGGGAGGTGAATTTGCTCAAGCACAAGTACCGGCCAGACCAGGTGTATGGGTTTGACTTCTTCAATCCTTATCTGGACTTTTCCAACTTTACGCTTAAGGTCCCCGGATTCAGCGTCGACATCACCAAGTACTGGGACGGACAGGTAATGAAGCATACATTTTGGATTACATATTGAACTGTGAGAGTGTCCTTTTGTCTAATACTGTCATTCTTGACCATACACTATAGCCATTGACATATATCATCAAATCGCAGGACTCTTCTGTGGTGTTCATGGCTTTCCAATTCGAAATGATCCCAGTCGAGGACTTTGCGGTTGAATAAACATGGAGCAACTCGTCAATATGCAATATGCACACAGTCCATATGCGACTAAAAACTAGATATCTACACTTTTCAGTACAGCTATCATCCTATACAATGAAGTCCAGATCCTCAACGACATCATTGACAGTAAGACCTTGCTTGACCAGATATTCGTCGTTCCTACGTTGTATCGATAAAAAGACGGTTTAGTCATTCTGTCGGTAATATTTCAATGAGCGAAGTAGAGTTGAGAATAAAAGCATCCTCCTTACCAAAATTTTGTTAAGTGGCGCTGACCAGAATCGCAGAGCAGAGTGACAATGGTATGGCCGGGACCTAGCTCGCGCGCGATCCGAACAGCTGCTACGCAGTTGACTGCTGAGGAGGATCCAATAAACAAACCTTCTTTGTGTACCAGATACCTTGCCATGTCAATGGCCTCCTGATCCGTCACCCGAATGGCATCGTCGATAAACCCTTCCGACAAGGCAAAATTGCGGGTCAATCGATTGATTCCCACGCCCTCAACCACGGTGTCGACCTGATGCCGCTTTCTTTTGCCCTCTTTTTCCGTAGGCGAGTACATGATGTTGTATTTGACCTTGTTAAACAGTCCTGATCCTTGTGGGTCAGCAAGATATGTCCTGAGGTCAGGCAGCAGAGCTTTCAAGTATTTCGCCACCCCGGCAAGGGTCCCACCGGTTCCTATCATTTGCGATTGCGAAGTGCTCAGTCCTCGGCATGTCTGCATATCTATATGTCCTGCATGTCCTGCAACATTTCAGGTGTGGTGAGCAACAGACACAGATATAATCTTACCTGCACCCATGACGATAGCATCGACGGTGCCTTGTGTCTGTCTGTAGATCTCGGGCCCAGTCGTTGTGAAATGGGCCTCGAAATTGGCCAGATTCTCGAACTGGTCAGCAAAGAATCCAGTCTTCTGGCTTGCCGATCCCTCGGCTCCGTCATCATTCTTTCCAAACTCCTGAGCACGTCTCTTTGCTAGATTGACAAACTGGTTTTTGTCGACGATGCTGACGGGCCGAACTTTCTCCACATGTGCTCCCAACTTTTCCAGCAACTGCGACTTCTCCTGTGCGACATCGTCCGGCATGACAACCCAGGCATTGTATCCCCGTGCTTTGGCCATCATGGCGAGTGAGATGCCAGTGGACCCCACGGTGCCCTCAAAAATGGTTGAGCCATTTCCAGGTGTCAAGATATGTTCACGCTCTGCAGTGTTAATCATGCTAAGTGCGACTCGATCTTTAGTGCTGCCTCCAGGGTTCAAAAACTAGTTGCGGATCGGTAAGCAAAGATGAGTTAATACTGATGCTCTTACTGTCACATATACCAAACAAAAACAGTGCATGACAATTCTCTTGCCTCCGCCTTGGCCAGGATTTCGCAACCGGTGGCCTCGCTGAGGGATTTGATCCGCATCATAGGTGTGTTGCCTATCAGTCCCGCTACACCGTCGCAGATCAGACTGCCTTGGTCTGCCTTGGGTAGTGAGATCAGCCTGGCGATTTTTTCTCCATTGGACGATTTCCGCCGACTGTTCATGCCATGGTGGGAATGGGTGCTCCGTCGGGTGGCATCGTACGAAGAGGAGATACCTCTGGTTGCGAACACAATGGCCGTTGTCGAGAGAGTGAAGAAGACGCCCACTGCAGCGCCGAGAGCGATGTGCTTGCTCCTGTCCGAAAGCGAGTCGAGCATGGTAGTATGTTGAGAAAGTGCGAAGTTTGTGAAAGAATTGGCACCCCAAATAAAAAAATGATGGCGCAGTGCCTCTGATAAAGTTATTCGCAGACGCAGACGCGGGAAGGACATTCGATCGTACTCTGGGGCTGATCTGCGATGCGATGCGATGCGATCACTCTCTTCCACCTTCCTCAACACAATATCCCTGAGCAATCAGCCCGCCATGGCAGCGGCATTACGGCGCATCTGCATGAGATCGCACCCACGCTCAGCTGTCTCGATAGAGAAACCTCTGCAACTTTTATACCTTTCCTCACGGTTCCTACACTCAGCAAACACAAAGAAGCTTCGTACAACAGACGCAAATGATACGCGGCAGAAAGCCATCATGGCCCGGAAGCCCAGCTATGCTGGCTGGTGGACAGAGGTCATGAATTACCAGGCACCGCAAACCCTTCCTGAACCAACAGAACAACCTTTCCAGGATCATGCGTTCCAAGGGCAGCCTTCCGTATTACCAACAGCAAGCGAAATAAAAAATGGATACAGTAACACATTGCCAATTGCAGCAGCAATGGTAGCGGCATCCGCAAGGATGGAGAATACTCTGCCGACTGCCGTTTCCCAAGAATCAGCCAGTTTTACTACAGGGGCATGGTCCAGTTTGTCTCAGCCTTCATCATCGGCCGAACCGACTTTATACCACGGGTTCTCTATACCTGTCAAACCTATGCCCCCTGGCGCCGAGGATTGTTGCATGAGGTAGGACGGATCATTTCTTCAGCATGATACAAGTTCTTTGTATGCGGATGGTATGCATCAATCAGTACGAATGCTTACTAGTGGCCTTTTTTTTTTCAGTGGATGTGCACACTGTATATATGATGTTTATGAAGAAGATCGACAAGAGTACAAGCAGAAGTTGACCAGAGTTCTTGGAGAGATCGAAAAGGCTGGGTTACCACCCCCACCGTCTGTCGCAGCTGACAAGGCGGCAGGTGACATTATCGGTTTGGAGGAGGAGAAGGATGCAGACATGGACCCCGGCATGAAGGCGTTTCTGGAACTAGAGCGCAAACTCAAGGGTTCATGATGTCAATGACAGCTGCATCCCTTTTGGCACCATGTATAGACATCTCAGTAGACCTGTCAATAATAATAGAGCAACCGACCAGCCTCATGAACCTTCTTTACAGGACAATACCTCCCAGAAAGGGCTCTTCCCCTCTTTTTCAGTATACCTCCTTAGCTTGCTTCCTAGCTTGCTCCTCATTATAACCAAGAGCCCTTGCTTTCTTTTGGTCTTCATCAAACACTCCTTTCCTCGCCTTCCTTCTCCATCAACAGCAGACTGAATATATACTTCACTCATGATTTCGAATTCAATCGCAAGCACCAACTCCACTCTGGTGCCTGACCACACTGACCAGGCTAAAGAGGGCGGGCAGGTCGACAGGACCGAAGCACCGCCAAGGACACAGAAGAGCACACTCGAGTCCGACAGCCTTTCTGACCTCGCTTCAGATTACAGTCCTGATACTGGGCTATCTAAACTACCTATTACTGAAGCAGCTGTGCACAAAACTGCATCGGCAACCGAGCCTTCAAGTTCAGTCTCTTTTTCGTCCTCGATTTTGGCTTCTGAACACCTAAATGAGAACAACAAGAGGGTCATCTCCCTAACCGCACAATGGTACGAACCATTACTCCCCGCTATACCTCCTGTTCAATCGATTACCTGTTATTCTCTTCCTCCAGTATGCTGACCCTTTGTTGTTATCAAAATGTCATGTGTGTGGGTACCATAGGAATGGTAAGAAGCTGCCGTTTGAAGTTGACCTTCACTACACAATCGGAGAGCTAAAGAATAGGCTGGTATGTAGAGAAGAATGCCCGCTTCTTTGTCCAACATTCATATGAGATACTATGCAGTACACAACATCGCTGATCCTTTATCCGCCAACCTTTGTAGATGGAACTCACAAACGTGGAGCCAAAGCGGCAAAAGCTCATGCTCGTACGAGGGAAACTGCCTGTAAGTTACATGAGGGGGCCCCAAGCCGATATTGGGAGATAACAGTGTTTATTGTGCTCATTTTCACTCAATTACTGTGTATTTCCACAGGAGGATCATGTTGTCCTGTCGTCCTTGTCGCTAAAGAACAACCAGACGTTCTTGATGATGGGTAAGAATAGCCGTTTGCTCGTTACTTTATCTTACGGCATTAGTGTCTTGTATAGAGATGCTAATGTGCTGCTGTGCATGCAGGTACGCCCGAGGCTAGGGTTATCAAAGCACCAGAAATCTTGCCGGACGTGTTAAATGATCTGGAAGAAGATTATACCCCCGATGATGAGGCGTTCGCCAGCATGGCTCAGAACCAAAAGAGCCTCAAGAATACGATTGCCAAAGTATGGCTTCAGGATTCATAATGTAGCTCTTTTAGCAATTGCTTTGTGTCCTGTCCTTCACTGGAAAAAGGTTGAATCTACTTTGACACGCTTATTGCTTCGGTGCTATAGTGCAACATCAACATCATGAATCCGCTGCGTCCAGGTGAGCCTGCGAAAGCCTTTTAGTGCACCGATTTTGCGGTTGGACAATACAGCATACTTGGAAGACTTATATTTGTTTCGACTTGCATGAGTGTAGGCAAGAAACTGCTGGTGCTGGATCTGGATTATACGCTCATCGACTGCAAAGCACTCAATAACTCGTTGGCGGATGTCATGCGGCCGGGTCTGCATGACTTTATGGCGGTGTGCTATGAGCATTACGACATCGTGATCTGGTCCCAGACTTCATGGAGGGCCTTGGAGGCAAAGGTTACGACCGTTGGATTATTGACACACCCGGACTATAAGATCTCATTTGTAATGGACATCTCTACCATGTTCTCAGTCATGAGCCAGAGGGATGGCAAGCCGTTTAGACATCAGGTCAAAGCTCTGGATATCATTTGGTCAAAGTTTCCTCAGTACACTGCCCGGAACACTGTCCATGTCGATGACCTGTAAGTCCTTTAGTCCTTTCTTTCCTTGGATATACGATGTTTTATTTCATTCTATACTGCTCTGCTGCTGTTAAACCCCTGCGAGAAAATGTATGAATAGATCGCGCAATTTTGCGATGAATCCACGATCTGGAGTCAAAATTGGCGCCTTCAAGAACGGAGCCCTATCAAGACATACAGACCGAGAGCTGTTTTATCTGGCACGGTACCTGATTAACATCAGTAAAGCCCTCGATTTCAAAGAGCTGGATCATAAGAACTGGAAGAGCCATCGCAAGACTATTTCATGAAGAGAATCCTAGATATCCACCCCCGCTAATGAATGTGCTTTTGTGTATTTTTGCTCTGTTCAAAATAAATAAATTCCGAGACCAGCAGAGATCGCATTGTCGCACAAAGTGCAAGCGAGACAAGGACTGCTTGTTGAAGAGATTCTGATGCCGACGATGACAGCACCTTCGTTTCGACTCATTCCCTCCTGAAGAATCTCTCACACGCTGTTCCCAATAACACCAAGATCACCAATCTTGAACGGTTGCCTCACTCGCCAGGTCTGAACTTGATTCATTCCAACGAGACCGGATTCTTGTGTGTACCAGACCCCGCACTGTGTAGAACCTAACTCCTTTCCAATTCGGTCTATACCCTGTGTAGATACTTCACCTAATGTCCGCGCGATCCAGCTTGAGGCTGAGAGAGGCCAGAATCAAGGCCGAGCAGGCTGAAAACTCTACCTATGTAAACGAGCGGACTCGACCTCGAGTCTGTGTTGACAATATAATGACTACCGCCAGCACCGAACCTGTAGAAGGCCAGACGCGGTCAAGGCGCACCATTGTCAAGCGGGAGGATGAGGGACTGGACGAGGAGACGCTAGCGCGGTTGAAGCTGGAGGCGGATGAGCACCGCAGAGCCCTTGCGGCTGAAAAGAGAACCAAGCGAAACAGCGCAGCAGTAACAGGAAAACTACCCGACACGATCAAGCAGGAGGAAGTCACGACCAAGAAGAGTAAATACGCGACAAAGGAACCGGTTGGGTGGAAGATAACCTTAGATCGACTGAGAGAATTCCGGCTCCAAAACCCAGCACCTGTCGACACTATGGGCTGTGAGCGCCTTGCTGAGACCGGAGATGAAATTCCTCCAGAGGTATGTTCAGCTGCGTTTCGACCAACCAACTCATCACACACTTGCTACCGTTATCTCTATGTTCTGAACTCTTATTCATATTTTAATTCCTTGGAACCCTTTTAGGTGAAACGCTTTCAGACGCTCATGTCCTTGGTCCTGTCATCGCAAACTAAGGATACAGTCACCTCCGTTGCTGTTCGACGACTGCAGAAGGAACTTAAAGGAGGGTTGACTATCCAGGGTGTACTGGATGTGTCGGCCGAAGAGTTGAACAACATTATTGCTGCAGTTGGATTCCATAACAAAAAGACTACGTACATGAAGCAGGTCGCGGAGATTTGCAAGACCAAGTACAGTGGTGATATTCCAGATACGGCTGAGGAGCTGATTGCATTGCCGGGCGTTGGACCCAAGATGGTGAGGGCTGCTTTATGGAGTTCACTTTGCTCAAGATATCCTTTACATCCTGTTTCATTTTGTTCCTTCTACACTTTGGCACTTACGTCTTTCTCCCCATCTTTGATTTAGGCTTATCTTACACTCCAGTGCGCTTGGAATAAGTAAGGATGTCTCGACGCATTGAATTTTGAAGGAAGTCATGATCAAGTTGACGCGCCCAGAACTCACTCTAAGCTTCCTTTTTTTTTTTTTTTTTGTATTTTTAAACCCGCAATCTTCAATAGGAACCTCGGAATTGGTGTGGATACCCATGTGCATCGTATTTCGAATCGCCTTGGGTGGGTCAATACAGAGAAAGATGGGCCTGAGGCCACACGCGAGGTCAGTATGAGACAGATAAATGTGGTCTTTTTTATTAAACACAGAAGTATGTCTAATGAACAACAACTTTTTTTGCGCGACTCAGGCTTTGCAATCGTGGCTTCCTAAGGAACACTGGCGTGAAATCAACCATATTCTTGTCGGATATGGCCAGGTGCTTTGTTTGCCTCGCGGACCACTTTGTGGAGCGTGTCCTGTTCAGGAACGCTGTCCCTCCGCTATGGTCACCAAGCAGAGGAAAAAAATGCTAGCCATCATCAAAAGCGAGATGGAGGAACCCTTTGGCGAAGTAGAGGTCCACAGCGTGCACGCTTCCAACAAGAGCATGGAAGCTTCAAGTACCGATGAAGAGTTAGACATCGAGAGAGGAATGGTGAAGAAGGAGGTCAAGGAGGAAATAAGTCCATTTTTTGCAAGTGACAGCGGAAACGATGTGGACGTCAAATTGGAGACTCATGATGTAGTTGATGTGCATAAGAGCACGCTCAAAGGGAGTGGCCTTCACTTGGACGCTCGCAACCTCGACGAGGAAGATATGGATATTGAGGACCTTGTATCATAGACCTTCACTTACGTGGATAAATAAATACAGCTTCATTCCGCCCATTATATTATTGTTGCTATGGTCGCCACTATGGATGCTTCTGCCACTGCACATCAGTGCCACTCTCAAGACGCACCAGCATCAGAGCTGAGCAATTTCAAAAGAAAGGGCCACGTTTTTTTCTGCCTATAAATGCTGCTGTCATTGCTTACCATCCATGATATCGATACGAAACCCCTTCAGCTTCAAAGAAGGACAATAGCCCGCGCTCATGGTCTGGTGATGTGAGATCCTCGAGCCAGATCACAATTTACCATCAGCGTTTCAATGGTGGAACCTCGTCTCTGACACACGATCAGCATACCGAGCGAGCTCTGCTCTCTTCTACCACTCTTCAGGGGTATACAGGCGCGCGATCAGTTTGAGTCGCGTAACATAACTGCAGTTAAAACCATTTTTGGCGTAGATCTGCAGCTCGCATGTCCGAAGGCGCCCGCCGCAGCAGCCCTTGTTGATGTCCTCAGTGTTGGGGTTTATTGCTATAGAAGACACACCACCAATGACTAGCGTCCTCAACGGTGGGATCTGCTCGAACCGAGAGTGGGGCGCTGGGTGTGCAGACATTTGAACGAGGCCCGCACTCTATTGTCCACGTTCAGAGCACTGTTTGCAGTGTTGAGAGATCCCTACCTGCAAACTCTGCAGGCAATATGTCTCGAAGGACTAAGGATTCTAGTAAGGGTGAATGCTGGTATAACTCGAACTGGAATTGTACTGCCGCTCCAACGCCTGGCTTCAAGGGTTTCAGTCGGGAGATATGAAAGACATTGAAACCGCGTAGTTCACGTCGGCGAGTCGCTTGTCCGCTTAGCCAGGGCTCTTGAGCATTAGGCTGCCCTGGAATGCGCCATAGCCGATCGACATGGCCTCTATCGTTTGAACGAGCTTTTCAGAGCGCTATCGCTAATATGGAATGTTTCATCCAGTATGGCCTTGCTTTCTATCCGAGCGACAGTGTGGCTGCAGAGAGCATGGAGCAATTCTGCGTGCTCGTAGACGTTACAGAATCAAGCCTCGAAGCCATGACTGAACTCATGGGTGATAGTCTTCAGTACCCTGCCTTCGATTCATTCAGATGCTGCCATCCATGCTTTCCAGAGCTGAATCAAGGCCACTGATGGATCTGTTTCTGTCAAAGAGCCTCGATTGGCAAGCTGCGTCTCCACTTCAACCCAGGCGAAGATACTTCTGTCGAGCCACGCGATTCCAGGTCCTGTAGCACACGACATCGCCATAAGAGCTTGCCTCCATCGCCATCCATGAATGCAAGGGCATATATAAACTTTTGAAGACGACTGAGCGCTTGACAGGAGACGATGTGGCTGACCATTGAAGGGTCTTGGCAAGAGCTCGTATCCAGTGAGATAGGGTTACCCAAGGCATGGATCAGGTGCAGCCGCTGCGACTAAGCCAGCTGCGCAAGTTGTTCCGAACTAGGCTGGATTTAGTGATGGTGATGATAATAAATAGTGCGGTGAGGACATTAGTGATTCTGGCTATGTCTGGTCCAGCTGCTTCTTAGGGCTGATTCGATGGCCTAGGATAGGTTACACACTCTCAGGCCAGGTCATCTTGCCCCAGGGACCTATCTGTGGCTCTGTCTTGTTTGTAATAACCGTATCAAGTGACTCATTTCAGGGTTGTGGCTCTGGCCGGTTTCAGCTTAAATCCTTAGTTTGAGCTGTGATAGCTACTGCTGCGGATATCGATGTTGCTATTGCTCTTACTGTTATTGATTTGACTTCTGTCGATACGGTGGTAGCGGTAGTTTGGACGGAGCGCATACAGACAGCGTGAGATGGAGCCGAGTAGAGAATGGAGGTAGCGACCTGAAGAGCGTAATGATTTCGTGTTTGAGCTGCAACAGGGTCTGCTCCACACACTCTGGCCGCCGAGAGTTGAGTGATGCTATATTGAAGCGGACTGACTCTGAAAGAGATTCGATGGGAGACCAACAAGAAAGTGGATGCACGATGGGCGGGTGGATGATATGAACGAAAGGGTTGAGGATATGGCTGGGGTGTAAGACTTGGGAAGTGAGAAAGAGCCGGTTACAGAGTAGGGAGGGGACACGACATGACAGAGCAAAAACTTTATTGATTTTCACATTCATTGCCACCAAAACGCGTACTCCAACCCAGCGAAGCATGCGCTAAGGGCAAGGCGCCGTATCTGGCCCGAGGCGGAGTTTCAGAGCGTGTTCGGCGGTGAGTTTGGCCCACGTCGATCTTGTCCCTGGAGCAATCAGCAGCGATGAACGCTTTTTATAGCACACGCGCACGTATCACATATCGCAACACACACGCAATAGACGATATCGCATACACACATGTAGAATGTGTATACATTATATATATCACATTCTGCACTTTTTCTTGGTCGTCTTCATATTCCTTTCACTTCTCCTCTGCCTCTTCCTGTGTCACACCACCGTCAGCGCCAGATCAGCTTCATTCATAGTCATTTCTTCGCATCTGAACACTCCCCTCCCTTTACCCGCTTTCATTCGCTTTCATTCGCTTTCATTCGCTTTCATTCGCTTTCATTCGCTTTCTTCTATTTATCCTCTCAAGCGTGGCATTCCCTCAGACGATGATGCTCCATCCAGGGCCACACCTCCATCGCCAAGAGCACCCCCTCAACAGCAACAGCAACAGCAACAGCAACAGCAACAGCAACAGCAACAGCAACAGCAACAGCAACAGCAACAGCAACAGCAACAGCAACAGCAACAGCAACAGCAACAGCAACAGCAACAGCAACAGCAACAGCAACAGCAACAGCAACAGCAACAGCAACAGCAACAGCAACAGCAACAGCAACAGCAACAGCAACAGCAACAGCAACAGCAACAGCAATAGCAACAGCAATAGCAACAGCAATAGCAACAGCAATAGCAACAGCAATAGCAACAGCAAAAGACCCGACTACAGCTCTAGTACCCATCATGGTACCCTTCACTGTTCCTCGTCATCCACCTCTGCAGCAGCAGCTAGCAAGAAGCAGGGGGACTATCTGACAGCATTGGCCATCATGCGGCCACGCGTCCTGGACTACGACGTGCACTCGTGCTCATCCTATTCGTCCTCGTTCCTGCCAGGCAACATCAAGATCAACAACCCCCAGGACCAGTCCTCAAGATGGTCCTCCGGATCCAATAACCAGATGCAGTACGTCATGATTCAGCTTAAAACCATGGCCATTGCCCGTAAGTTTGACACCCTTCAATCACCAGTCTATGTTTCATGGAACTCGCCTGTGATCGATCTCAATTAGCGCCGTGGTATGATATGCTTATCCTGTGTACCCACCTACATTCCATTGGCATTTGCACTTGTATCATTTCAATTTTAGATACCATCACCTTTGGCAAGTACCACAAAGTACATGTCTGCAACTTGAAAGAATTCAAGGTCTTTGGTGGCCTGACCACTTCCAATATGACCGAGCTATTGCATACTGGTAAGCTGAGGAATGCCCTTTTCTATTCCTTCTCCAACAGCAACCCCACTGCGGCCCTCAGTCTGCAGACCTTTTTCACTTCATTTCTTCCCGTATTCACCCCACAACACTGGATTTATGAGACACATACTCATGCGGTCAATGTATGTCAGGGGCAAGAAGCGATTGTGCACAAGACAGATATAAGAAGAGCGCGTATGTGTGCAAATGCATATGCACCTGGTTTCAAATACCAGGCGCTTCTTCTGACGACGATGTCCTGGAATATCAAATCCTTGAGAAAGGAGCATAGGCCACCTCTTACAATTCATATACACCTACCGCAAACAAATAGCTCCTTCCAGGACAAATGGAGATCGGAGGCACTTTCATGATCGGTGCGAGGATATGAATCATGCGATCTGACCAGCTGCTGGACACGATTCCGGTGGCGTGTCCAAACGATGTCTTGGCTTTAATTCGCTATCATCCTACCAAACTCTCCTTAATTTTATCCCTCTGCCCACGCGAACATGTTGCGCTCTTCGCCTTTTGACGCTCCTTCGGCTTCTTGCTTTGAAAGACAGCGGTCCGTCACTACAGCACCCATTAACATCGAAAACAGGGAGATCTGAATAATCCATATAAACGAAAACCACTCCTCCTTCTCCTTGCTCAAGTTGAGCCTTCTTCCCCTTGACATTAAAAAAAAACATCGTCATTTTCCCTGGCTTCTATTACCTTCCTCGATCCATACTCTGCACCAAAAAATGGAGGAAATAGAGACTGGACTTTCCGCATGAAGCAGAGCGCTGGTTTGACTGATAGTTTCTATAATGATTGACTTTAGGACTCCGGAATGATAGTGAGCCGGAAACTTTCTTGCTGAAGCACAAGACCAATTCGGTAGTGTTCCCTTGCCAGTATATCAAGATTGTACCATTGGTGGCATGGGGCGCCAACTTCAACTTTAGCGTCTGGCATGTCGAGGTGAAGGGTATTCCAGACCCAGAATTGGTGCAAGAAACATATTTCCAGTACATCAATGTGAGTGGGAGAAAGTAGAGCACCATAATCTAAGAAATAACCTCCATACTCTGGTCTACATCGCTTTAACTTCATCTCCTCTCCCTCTTCATTCTATAACTAGTTCCGAGAAACAAAATCAGTGCGACTTTGTCTCAAGCATTTTAGACAGCGTAAACTACTGGATGCGTTCAAGGCACTGCAGGATCGCACTAATATCGAGCTAGAACATCCGCTGCTGACAATGCTACATCATGAGCTAGTCGTCAGAGGCAACTTCAAGCGAGCGGAGGAGCTGATGATAGAGGCGGCAGAGCGCGGTCTCTTTGACGACTATATCCGGTCTTACGACTATAAGCCTATGTGGAAGCGACTTCAGTCTAACAGCCATCGCCAAGGCTTCCATCATCACCACCATTCACACCAAGCCCATGATGAGGAAGGCCCTAGACAGCGGGGCGGACATCAGATGTGCATTGATACGCAAGGAGGATATGTCTACCTGATGGGCGGTTGGGATGGGGCGCGAGAACTGGCAGATTTTTGGGCATACCATATTCCGTCCCAGGTGTGGATCCTGATTTCTGCGGACACGTCATTGTATGCATCAGAGATCTGAGATGAATGCAGCCGTCATTGGGGACATTGTTTTGGTTCTTCGTGGTTTTTAACGGGCTACATTATTTCTGCTCGATGTCATTGTAGGCAAGGTGGTCCCAGCGCGCGATCTTGCCACAAGGTCTGCTACAGCCCACAGCACCGTGCGATCTTCCTACTTGGAAAGTACGTCGACCCAGACAACCGGAGCAAGGTTGACCTGAGCTCTGATTTCTGGCGATTCGATATTAACTCGGCCTCACCACCACACGGTCGTTGGACCAAGATATCTGGAAACACAGCGGTGATGCACCACTGCGCTTTTGAATGCTTTCCTTTGTCTTCTGCCGTCTCATTTTTCTTGTGCGTATACTAAATTGCACCCACTGTATATCTTGGACATAGATCGTGAATGGCCCTGAATTAATATACGACCACCAAATGTGCCTCGACCCAGTATCGCAAACACTTTACATATTTGGTGGAAGAGTGGTTCACCTCGATAAGAACGTCCAGCATTACAGTGGACTTTATTCATATCATATCCCTTCAGGGGTATGGCGACTTCTTCGCGCAGATGGTCAACCTCCGCCAAAACAGGATGGCGCTACAGTATTGCGTTCACGTATTGGACACTCTATGCTGTACGACGATATGACGCGCAGTTTGGTGATCTTTGCAGGACAGATGAACAAAGACTACCTGTCCGATTTCTACGTCTATGACATTGCAGCGGATCGAGTGATTGAGGTCTGCAAAGATTATAACAAGCAAGGTGGACCCGAGGCCGGATTCACACAACGCGCCACCATTTCATCAAGAGGACGAGAAATCTACGTCCTCTCTGGTCTCGTCAAGGATAGAGCTCTAGGAGCTGAGACCGTCAAGAACAGTTTTTGGGTTTTTAAGCTGCCGGGTCTGGACCAAATGCACGCGATCAGGGATGTGCAGTGGGCCCTAGCCAACATCAAAGCTTCAGGATCTATCGGCTCGCTCAAGAGCATCATGAACCACGGACGCTCTCTTTCGGAGAAAATGGAGCCAGGCGACAGAGACGGTGACACCTCTCACTCGAGTACCAGCCGTAGAAGAGTTGATGATGAGGGGAACCAAAGGCGCCAAGAAACGCGGTCATGCTTAACGCGGTCGTCTGGTCGATCAAATGATACATCGTCGGAATCGTTGCTGAGCACGGACGCAGCCTCTAATGGCGAGCCGATCGCTGTCCGAACCGTCCAAACCAGGAGCACCAACAACGGCAGGAAGGTGAGTTTGAGGTCTGGATCCCTTCTTCAGTCCGACGCGGCAAATGCATCTTCCACTTACTCAGCCATTTTTGGGAATGACCCCTCTGGCGCATCACAGACATCCAATCAGGGATCATCCAACACAATGAAAGAGGTCATCTCTGCAGTTTCTCCCGTCATTTCAGCGCGGTCTCTATCCAGTATGGAAGACGGCACCAGTTTGGGTGCCTGTCAAAGCTCTGCATCGCAGCATACACCCACTATCGTTGCGGAACGTATGTCACTAGCCTATGTTCTGAGCGACCAGGGATCCTGGCAGAAGATATTCCAAAACTCTAGTCTTGAACTGGGTGAGCCAAGGGAGCTGGAACCTGTGCCTCGTTATGCGCATCAACTGGTCTATGACGACGTGAACGAGGTCCAGTATCTGTTCGGTGGGAACCCAGGTGAGCAGGGCAATATGACTAAGCGGCTAGACGACTTTTGGGAGCTTCGTCTGTACAGGTATGCGTGAATAAACCGCTGTTCGAAGCAGTATGACAGATAATTAATTTCTACAGCTGCTTCTCTAACATTTCAATTCTTTACTCCATGCTTAGACCAAAACCAGAAGAAATCGTCAGAAGGGCAAAATATCTTCTTCGAACGCAACAATTCAAGGAGCTTTGTCGACGCCCAGAAGCCTCTGCAATGACAAGTACCACCGTCCCTTCACTGATGACAAATGGGTTGGGCCCGAGCGATTCCATCAAGTGTGCGTCCCGAGCGAGCAGGACGCGATCAAACGGCATACAGCATGCGCATAAAAACGGACATGCATCTGGAATGGGAGTACGAATAAGTATGGTCCAGAGAGGAACACCAGAGCACCATGATCAGTCTGTCCGGGCGCTCAAGTTTCTGCAAACGGAGCTTAGCTGCGTCGTCGATCAATCCAACAAGACTGAAAGCGATGACTTTAAAGCTCTCATACGCGGTCTCCTGTTGGGTGCCTTCTCGCCTTCGATGGGAGTTGCTTCAACGCTTCCTAACGCACCCCCTCAAACCCCTTCGTTCTCTTTCACGGGCGCACGGGCCAGACCCGCTGGAACTGGCACGGCGAGCAGCCAAAAGTCCACTGTACTGCTGACTTCATCGCTTATTGCCTCGCCGTCACTCAACAGCAACCGGTTGATGTTCTCATCTAGAACCTCCTCAGCACATGCCTCAGGAACGACACCCTTCTTGGCACCTCCTGATTCCAATTACATGGACATGCCGATCTTTGACACAAATGGACATGCTCCAGATTTCAACGGCGAGGTCGAAGGCTCTCCAATGAAAGATTCATCGACCGAGGAAGAAGAGGAATCCCGGACATCACGACGCTGCGGAGCGGCACGTCAGATCCATGATATGGGAGATTTGGATAACAATGGAGACAAGATCAGACAAGTGAATCAGAATGTTACGCAAGGCGAGGGCAAGGGCGTTGAGGAGATGAATAGAGATAGCGATGGGGATAGCAAGGCATATGTGGATGAGGTGGTGATTGATGAGGACGAGGATTCGGATATGGATGATGAGGAGCATGATGCGATGATGAGGCCATTTTTCCGTGACCGAACATTGTTATACGAGAAGTTGCTTGATTTTTTTTCAGACGAAATGAAGCAGCCCAAGGGCGATTTGGTTGACCTTGTCAAGGTTGGCTAGAAGGATGGCCACTAAGGAACATTAGCTGTTTTCAGAGTTTCTTGTATAGTAATACTGATTGTTTTGGTAACATAAAAATGCTGGTAATCATTATGTAGAGTTCAAGAACTGAGTGTTCACGATGGCGCATCACCATCAATAGGGCGCAGCATCTCTAAAGATATTGCGACTGCGCCCAAAAGAGTACCGCACAAGGCATGACTAAAGAGCATGAGCTAGATACACCACTCATCTTCTCTTTATTGCCTATTTTCTTTTTACTTCAGCTGAGGACAAGAGCAAACCTGGTCATATTGCGAAAGGATTGCTGGGCCATATAACTTCGTGGTTTTTTTAATGCGAAAACATGGCGCGGCGTGAGACGTAATAACTGATGCCTTTGGAAATCTCGAGCGTACTCTGGTTCTGCTCCGGATTCAGTGAACTTGAAGCTGACGAAGCTGGGGATGTTTGATGCCTCATCAAACCCGATCCGGCGCCTTCCTCAAACGATCGCTGTTGCATCGACACCGTTATGTGGTGCGAGTGCTGCTGAGAGCGTTGCTGCTGGGGCTGTCTTGCGGCGGGCTCCATCGAGGTTCCTGCCATAGACTGGGAATATTGCTTCTGTCGCTTTTCAGAGGCAATCCCTTCTGCAAATCGACAAATGAACTCGTCATGACCTACCACATCCGACTGGAACGACCGCGCGACGGTTATCCGGAGCTCCGTCGGGGTCAGTCCCCAGGCAGCATCGGGGTAGATCTCGATCGATGTGCGGAGTCTGTAGGTACTTGTTCGAAAGATAGAATCATCATTGGCATCATCCGCCGTCTTTTCGTCTTCCAAATCCGTGAATCGAGTGTCGATGTCTCCATTTATCAGAGTGAAATGGTCCAGCGGAGGGTAATAATGTCGCACCACGTTCTGCGGAAATGTCACCTGAACCGCAATTCCTGTTGTGTCTCGAACGTGTTGAATAACGCCCTCGACGTTGACAAGAAACGGGAACGAGGGGTGGACATCCAAGGGATTGTCACGGTTCGGTAAGGGCTTCGTAATTTGTGCCCCAATTCTCTCGAGGTTGAGACAGTGGAAATTGATCTCCAAAGGCACAAATTTCTATAAAGGAAGAGCAAGCTGTTAGCCCCTGCATCTCACGCCGAGTGCAAACTGTGAAAACGAGATGCATCCTCCGCGTACCACAATCCCGGACATCAGCATGATAATTTCTTGGGTGGATGGCGACTTGAATGCACGCAACATTGATATCCTGAGATCAAGAAGCATGTGTCTGTGCCTTTGAACGCGCTCATGATCGACTTCAGGTTGATCCATCTGCTGGAGTAGGTCTGTGATTCTCTTGATGGCCATCTGTAGCATGGATTGCAAGTATTCTCGGGTCTGTCCATGCTCCCTGTCAATGGGCCACGTTGGTGAAGATGAAAGGGTGGCTACGCCTGCGGATGATATGCCTGTGCCTGCCTTTGTTTGAGCCATGCCAAAGAACCAGACCAGATTCGCAAGAACGCGAAAGTAGTTTATAGAAACTTTGGCCGTGGCATTGAGCCCTAGGAAGGTATGGTCCATGTAATAGGATAGTCGAAACAGCTGTGCGGAAAGTGTGGGGGCTTGAATGACAAATGCAGGAGTGTCATGGCTGTCTTGGATTTGGATAAGAAGGTCACAGCACTCTAAAAATATGTCGGCAAACTCTGCATTCCGCCCTTGCTTTGCATGCACATTCACAATATAACGGAGGTCTCGTTGGCAAACCACAATCTGCTGAAGGATCATTGCGCGGTGGTTACTAGCCGCATGACGTGTCCGCGGTTTCTGTTTACTCCCCCAGAGCGAGTAGATGCGATCGAGGTTGTTAAGGGCTCGTCCGTAGAATGACTCTGCGTCCTGCTCTGTTTGAACTCGCATGGCGGCGATGGTGGTAACATATGCCGAAGTAGAAGCGGAAGCAGACTCCGAGCGCCGAGAGTCTGAGTCCTCAACTTTCATACGATTTTCTGCGTCGTCTGCAATGGCCATCGTCAGCGCTGAAGCTAGGTCCTGCAAGGGCTGCGTTCCAGGACAAGGAATCTCCTAAGGATGGATCGTGGTTTAGGGATTAGCAATCTGCGCGCTATTTGCTTGCGTCATCGCACAATACCGATGAATCACCACCTACAGATGGTTCAGGAAAACAGCTGGGATATTTGTCTCGGAGATAGATATAGTGCTTGTAGGTGTATTTTGGCAGCATTTGCAAGATCCGCGGGTTGGGGATAGCCGCATTAAAAATAAGAATAAGGTGACCGCCATCTAGATAATAGAAAAGCAAGAGATAGATCTGAGTATACAGATAGCTGAACCCTTTAAAAATACCCAATCTAGGCAATTGACAACGTACACTGCATGCTCTCGACGTTTTCTTCGATCGGCAGATACATTTTGCTAAGATGCAGCATCTCGGAAACCATGGCCTCTAATTTAGATTAAAAGCGCAATATTAAGCAACCGACGCTCAAAAGCCAAGGTAATCGAGACATACAAATGCCACTTACCGACAAATCCGCCATGGCGCCTTGCAACCGCCTTGATACATTGATAAATCGACAGTTGGTCCTCCGGAAACCTCTTCATATTCGATTCGATGCTTGTCATGAACGAAGTCATGCCATCGGCGGTGGCCATCACTACAACCCTAAATAGTAAAATAGAACAGCATCAGGAATGTAAATTCCTAGTAGTTGAATTATACATGCATATTTCTAAGACACTTAGATTTCTCGAACATACTCAAGCATCCTTTGAGTGGACTCCCGCACATCGCGATCAGCGTCCTCTAGAACACCCAGAGCAATCTGAAGCTGCTCGGTATCGAATGTGATGGGGGCCCTGCTCCCGATCCTGAAGAGACTTGTCAGAGCATTCAGGCGAACATAGTCGATTTCGTCCATAAACATGTCTAGTAATAGAGGACCTATTAGACATCAATTCGTCGCACGTGGAAGATGACATGTACAACACAACATGAACGATTAGACCTCACGTACCAACCATATAGTCGAGAGCGAGAAGAGAAAACTCAGGGTTCTGCAAGCACAGCTCGCAAATAGAATCTAATTATCAATGAAGCATAGTAGGACGATCCATCGCGTGTTAGATGGGGCTATTAGTTCGCGAGTTACGGCAGCGAGCACCGACGAATGCCTTACTGATGGCTGCATTTCGCACGTCCTGGTATTCGTCCTCAAGCCCATGAACAAACGCTCCACACGCTCCGGAATCAAGCAAGCGGACTTCTTGTGCCGTCACATCCTGATCGCCCTCAGGAGTTGCAATCAATTTTGCCCTCTAGATAAAGAAAGACGAGAACTCATTAGCAACAGCAAAAAGAGTGTTGAAGCATATTGCCTAAGGTGACGAGCGTATACCTGAGCCTGTTTCTGGGCTGGTCCAGCGGCAAGGTTTTTGGGCGCCACGTCCATTCGAAGACGGGCCATAATCTTCTTGCTGAATGTCTGTGATAGGAACTTGTAGTCTACAGCCCTGAACTTGCCTAGGAGAGAACAGGCCTAAGGTTCAATTTCCAGTGGTATTAGTGAGTGGAAGGTCATTTTTAGTCCCACTGCATGGCCGTGACATGACAATGGGTGAAGCATAGGAAAAGTTACCTTGGCTCGCACAGTAACGGAGCTGTCATTGACCATGTCGCAGATTCTAATAAAAGAGTCGTCGACTAAACGTGTGGCCTGTAGCTGAGAGGCGAACGGATTTTGCACAATCTGGTCCGGATATAGCTCGCTCAGAAGACTATGATTTATTAGGGTATGGGTAATTAGTCGATGATCAAAAGTTCGTTCCTTACGAGCACCTATGGTTAATTGTTCTATATGAAAGAAGGAGGCTTACTAGATAATGTCAAGTCCTTCCATGCGAACCTCCTGATAATCATCCTGAAGCGCCAGCACTGCGACATCGTACATCTCCAATGCAAGTTTGAATCCTTGTCGGTGGAGTTCCAGAAGCGCCTTGCATGCATTCTATTCAGGAACGAGAAAGTACTGCATAAGTATAGATACGATGTATTGCGTTATAGTCAATTAACAGCGATTCTACACGTGTGCCTACCTTTCTCACTCGTGGTTCAGGGTCCGTCACATAATTTCTGACAATAAGCTGGATATCGTGCTGAGAAAATGCTGGGTGCTGGCGCATGATCGGCATGACAGTAAGGTCGCACAACTTTACAAGCGGTGCAAGTTGCGCGACAAGTTGGAGGACTGCGGAACGAATTCTGTGGTGGCGATCCTTAAGCTCGGTGATGGATGTCGTAATAAGTGCCCGAATCGTGTTGATATCGGACATGTTACTCCGTGGTAGCCTACCAATCTAACCAGCCATGTGAAATGTTACCTTAGCTCTGGCTATGAAGCAAGCAGACGGTATATGTAGTGTAGCAACGTTCAAATTCCAAAGGAAATACCTTGATGATGTATGATATCGCATCATAGACTTGAACCCGCACCTCCGTAGAGTCTGCTTGAAGCTATAGGTATGGGTGACCATGAGTAAGAACCGACAGCAAAGAGTGTGGTAAACCTGGTCGTCAATATTAGATCGATTTACACAAACCTGGTTTAACAAGTGTTCCACAGCGCTCCTCCCATTAACAGCGGTTGCTTCTAATATGTTTTGGATAACTTGGATAAGGAGAATCTATGAAGATCAAGACAAAAGTTATGGATGTGATCCAGCATTATCCGCGCAATTTTTCAACGTAACAAACTGCGAGGTGTTTGTCGTGTACTTTTGCTCCTTTGTCATTTTCCGTGTAGAGCATGCGCTGCGCTATTTCCATGAATTGTGTATGCTGCGAATTCGTGAGCCCAGATAGTCGGTTGAGAAGTAACTTGAGGGCCTAAACATATCAACGAAACATATCTGTTAATGAACCGTTCTGAAAAGTCGGTGTAAGCGTGAGAGCTGACAGTGAAAGGACGATCATATCTCCGTGGCAATACCTTTATCCTGGTGTGCGTAGCCTTGGAATCTAACGCTAGAAGCAGGCCCTGTGTGAGATTAATAAGTAGAGATGTCAAGACGCCGGTGAGTTGGCTTTCTGCGGTCTTTAGAACGATGCCGCGCGAAGGATTATGTACACATTCCTACCTCGATGGTTTCTTCTTCTTCCAGATCAATTGCTCCGTCAACATCCTCATCATTGTCCGTGTCTTCTTCTGGACTTCCAGTGTACTCTCGGCCTACGGCGTGGCTGTCATCAACGACCATATCATCTTGATTTCTAGAGCGTTGAAGGGCGAGCACGGGTTCCTGTTGGACGACAGTGATAGACCCGTCAGTGATGTCAGCGTGTTGTCGTGCATGCTTTCCGCGGCCCGCTTCCTGTGCGGCATCTCGGGCGCTACGCTTCATGTTGTGTAATGTACAAGTGAGATGACGTTCTTTGGTTTGAGCGCGACTTAAGTCTTTTATGTGGCTGAGCAAGGTCTTCGTTGAGACGGTGTCCTTGACAGCTCATCGTTCAATGCTTAGATCAGATCAGACGAATCGCAAAAACGATGGCGGCATTCAAGGATCTTACCAAGGGAACTCCAGTTCTCCCCTTGGGTACAGGTTCGACATTTTCAGCAAAGAACCTAGTACAGGAGCCAGCTGAGGAACCGTTTATCCTTGTCAGGGGCAAAAGTAATGGTCGAAAATGGGAGTCAGCAACAACTATTCGAACATTGCCTCAGAGTCGCGCTATTTCTGAATGGATTGAAAAAAAAGAAGTGGGGAGCCTTCCTGGATGGACGACAACGCGGAAACCAAGGAAGCCCAAGAAGAACAGTCAGCGCGCCATGATGGGGCGGGGAGCATTCGATCAAGAGGAACGGACAATTGAATGGGGCATAATCATGCTGGAGGACAAAGTCATGACCCTCAAACAATCCAAGTTTTATTCGGCGTTTCATGGTATGGATTTGCTGTTGACCAGCGTCATGTTCGAATGATGTCTCTATGCTTGTGACTCTAACCTACTGATCTGCCATATAGAATTGACGCAATTGACCCTTTGCCCTCCTTGCAAAAAGCAGCATAAGCACATTATGGACTCGACAATGCAGCTCCATCCACGCACAGCGGCCGACCAGACACTGGAGCCAGTGGACCTGAGTCATGAACCAGAGGCAGGAAACGCAACGAGTCAGGAGATAGGCGCCGAGGTTTGTGCCCAGCGGGAAAAGATCGTGGACATTATCTGCTATGGCATTGGATCGGTGGAGTCCTCCCGCAACTCGCAGTTTCAAATAGCCTTGGCCCTCTGTCTGAAAGATATACTGCGGGTAATCTTCACAACAGGGTCGCGCGTGGAATGCATAATTGTCGTTGTCTGTTCGAAGACTGACCAATGCATTGATGCGATCCACTTTTAGCTATCAGGGACGATGTCGATATTTGATCCTGTCATGACCGAGTATGACAAACAGCTGGCAGAAAAGCTAGGTCTCCATGTTCTAAAGGCCAATGATCAAGCAAACCAGGTCCTCAGTGCTCGGACCTTACTTTACATGCCTCACTGTCCCAAGGGCCTGTATTCTCATGTGCTTGAGGCGAATTGGTCTCGGAAGCACCTAGACAACATGGTGATCCTCGGCAACCGTTTCACCATGTATGATGAGAGGTAACTTCGATAATATCGCTGAACCATTATATGCTACGGCTTCATTCAACGATAGGTGGGACTAATATTCACGTAACTGCGATTACGGCTGTATCAGTCCTTCTTTCAGACAGTTTGCCAAGCAGGCACCGTTCATCCTCCCAGCGCTCACCATCGCGACTGTTCATGGTTTGCCAGAGACCAAGTTTGAGGATAACACAGTATTCAACGATCTTGCCTTCCACTGCTTTCCTGCAGATAAAATCCTGCCAGACGTGGATGTACAAGGCCGCGAAGTCGATCCTGAGCTCTTATAGTTATCCACTTGTAATAAAGACAAAAGAAAAAGACGCGTAGTGTGCACATAGTGTTCGCAATATAATTTCCTTTCTGTCAAATATAGGCATGAAACTTGACTATTGATCTGAATGCAGAAAGATGAACTCTAAGAGCGAAAGCCATATATGTACAGTCGAATCTGGTTTTTGTCATCATTTTGATAGTGAAATCGATGATAAAAGTTAATTCGAACATTTGAATTGACCCCCACAAAAAGAATACTGTAAAACGGAAAAGTATATAGTGTCCGTGACATTGACGCCAGCCACGCCTCATCATGCTAGTCAAAAAAAATACTTTCATTCACCCACACGCCTCTTCATGTCAACAAACATCCTCAATAAAAGACCCTACACTCCTTTTTGCGAAAAGGCCCAATTTTCATAGTAAATGTGGGCCTTTTCGCACTGAATTGAAAATATAAGGGGTGTTATTCAGTCCACATGGCACCTGACCTTACCTTATATCCTCGCAAAGATATGTCATGCTTACAACATGCAATCACTCTGTCACTTTTCCCTCTCACTTTTCCATATGCCAAAAAACAAGACACCTCGTATTATAACCGATACGCGTCCACGGGGCTCCCCCCTCTCAGACATCACATCTATGGTCAACCAGCTCAAGAATGGCACCTCGGCACTACCAGAGGAAGCGCAGGTGCTGGACTACTACTCACTGTTGGCTAAAGCTCGGGCTAGCACTGACCAAGTCGTCGATCAACAACCTCAAAAACCTGCCGATCCGAAACGCCGTAGTGGTGGGAGAGGTGGAGGATGTAGTCTAAGGCATCGGATGGAGTTGGTCGAGATCTTTCGCTACCTCAAGAGGACTGATGTGAAGGTCACAGCTGGCAATTTTCACCAGTTCGTACACCGCCCCGTCTATAGGAAGTCGATCGCGCAGTGGGACAAGGACTTTGACAAGATTCGGTTTGATGTGGCGCATGGTCGAGGCGACAAATGCATACTCTCCAGCAATCCAGTCGACTTGATACGACACATAATGGACAAGACTGTCCTTGGGTGGCTACTAGAGGTTCGGAAGAGCAACGGCGTTGTCAGTGGTCTACAGCTCCAAGTCGCAGCCGATTCCGTTCTTCACATTCTTGCGGACGACATTGCGGACGATATTGGTGACTTCAATGATATCCCTCATGGTCGCACCATCTCTTTTACGACATCGTGGCGTTCGAGGATGACGCAGGAGTACGGTGTCGCCTACTGCAGTCTCAGAGGAGAAGCGGGATCTGTCGACAAAGATGCCATCGCAGAAAGGATGAACGAGATCCGCAACATATGCGCTGACTTTAAGCCCGACGACATCTACAATTGCGATGAGACTGACATGTACCTCAGGGAGCTCTCCACTCACTCGTACACTACGGCGGAGTTCAAGAGTGGTGCCAAACCAGAGCGGGGGAAATCTCGCGTGTCGATTCTCTTCTGTCTCAACGCCTCTGGATCTTCGCTTGACCGTGCAGACGTAACGGCTTTGAGGCCGCAAGTTCTTGGTAAGGATACAAAAACTCCGTGTTTTGTACTAAATTTAATAGAGGACTTATTTAACATGAAAAGGAACTAATGATTATGTCTAATTGCTTGATATTGTAGGCGAGCACCTTGCTCGAGGTATCCGACCATTGCCTGAGGTCCCTATTGCCTCGATGAGACATGAAAAGGGATACATGACCCTGGATCTTTTCAAGCAATGGCTTCATTCGCTCGACGAGAGCCTCACCAACAAGTGTCTTCTGCTTATCGACTCATGTGGAGCACACGGCAAGTCTGGAGGCAAGGACCCACTTGCAGGAGAGATATGGAAGCATCTTCGGGTTGAGCGCCTGCCTGCCAATTCGACATCCGTTACCCAACCTTTGGACGCAGGAATAATTAGCGCATTTAAACGACACTACCTCGAGATGCTCAGCAACAAATCAGTTACAAAGGAGTATGCCACTGGGGAGAAGATATCCAACGGCGATGCATGGTCACTTATTCCGTACGCGTGGTCGCATGTCAAGGCCTTGACGGTGAGGCATTGTTTTTGCAAAGTCGGCGTTCTTTCAAAGGCGCAAGTTGATAAGCTGGAGCAAGAATCAGTGTATGTGAAGGAGCGATCACCACTGTATCCACCTGTGGAGGACACGGATGCAAGTCAGGCCAGGCGACGCTATGTACGATTGATTGCTTCGGTCATGGACGAGGACAAGATTCAGTTTTCCCTTGACAAGAACCAAAAGGACGCACAGGATTTGGCAGAGGAGATCAAGCAGAAGATGTGCAAGAAAATCGCCAAGAGGTACGGCTCGCGAGAGAGGAGTTCTTCCATCGAGCGTGATGCTGTCGAGTCGTTCAAGTCTAAGGAAGGAGAGACTTTGAAGACCAAGGTGTTCGAGATGCTTAGAGACAATAATGCGAGCCACCGAAAAGCAGCGCGATGTGTGATTCGTGTGCTTGGTGATCCGTAAATCCTAGCAAAATAGTCACAGAACACTGAATAACACCCCTTATATTTTCAATTCAGTGCGAAAAGGCCCACATTTACTATGAAAATTGGGCCTTTTCGCAAAAAGGAGTGTAGTCCTTTGTGGAGAAGGCGTGACTGGCGTCAATGTCACGGACACTATATACTTTTGCGTTTTACAGTATTCTTTTTGTGGGGGTCAATTCAAATGTTCGAATTAACTTTTATCATCGATTTCACTATCAGAATGATGATAAAAACCAGATTCGACTGTATTGGAATTTTGAATGAGAAATGTCATTGGAGCTTGACCAAACTGCGGGTCAGGGCAGGAACACCAGAAGATTCAGTTGGCGCCAGCATCAGCGTTCCCATTATGATGAACAGCCCTCCGAGAAACTACACACGCTCCTATTGATCGGCAAAAAAAGTTGGTAAAGGATAGACAGGACAGACAGGACAGACAGGACAGACAGGACAGAAAAAAATCTGCCACACTGCCATGCAGCCTTCAGCCTGTCAAATTTTTTTATCAAAAAGAGAGTGTCAACACAGAAAAGCATATATAATTTTTATTTTTGCTGATTGGGGATCTTTCTGGCCGATGGAGTTGATGGACCGATATCGTTGCAATTTGTATCGATAGATTGGATCAATGTTAGGATCACGTTGTTCGTAGTCGTGTCCTTCCCGGCTGAGGCTATGGTGCACTTGCCGTGCGGCCTCCCTGTGCTTGATGCACTCCATTGCTTTTCTTTTTCGGCGAGTTCATGATAATCGCATCAAGATTACGTGGTGAAAATGGTAGTGTGACCCGTCCCTGCTGCAAGAAACTGTCATCCATAGCCTGTATCTGCGCATTTTCGACTTTCTGCTGCATGCTGCAGAGATGTTGCTACATGGGAGTGAGCGCAAGCAGACAAATAAATAACGAGAACAGGAGAGAACAGAACGCAACACATAAAACTACGACGTGAATTTACCACGTATGTGAGCAGCCATCCAAGGGACTGTCCATCCAGAAATGCCTTCAGCCCTTTCTCATCAAATGGTAGCTTGATGGCCACTCGGGACAACAGACCAGAGATATGGATGTCTTCGTATCGGTGGAGATAGACAATAGCACCAGTGTACCCAGAGACGTCCAGGAAAACCATGTAGTCGCCATTTTGAAGATCAAACTTTCCATGTCACTGTAAGTAGACCATAATCGCCTTGTTGATTCAAATGTTCTTCCGTGATTGCTTCTTGTTCTCCTCACTATCTACCCCAACAGCCTTGAGCTCATTGTTGTTTAACTCCAGGCCATCGAAATGCAGGTGGAGATCCATCTCCCGGCCACAGACGCCCTTGCTCGCTCCACTAAACTCCTACTCTTGAAGGGTTCTGATCTCTTTCGTAGCGTCAGATGTGAGCTCGCCACTAAAGAAAAGAGGCAACAAAATATCAGTTGCAAGACCACATGAGCAAGAACATTAGTAACAAGGAACACTGTGAGCGCATACATCTCGAACTTGAGCGACCCTTCCGAGATGAAATCAAGAACAGCCTTCCATGTTGACACAACCGCATATACAGAATTGCCAAAAGTTCCTGCAATAATTTTGTCCGCTCTAACGAATATGAAATTTTAAGTTAGTAAAGACCATGAAAACAAAACCTAACGAAAGAATGAGACAACAGCAGATAGATATGAAGCTTACAGGAATCGGACAACGTCTAGAACAACCTTCAGCAAAGGGTCCACTTGTTCTCCCCGCCGCACCTTGCCTACGCGTCCGGCATCCAGAATGCTGACCTCGTCACAGAGATGACTTATGCCGTGCAATGTTTAACCCCTATATCTACTTACAGACAGGAAGTCAACGAGACAAGAGAGGGATCTTTATTTATTGGGCAGACGGGCCCCTTATAAAGTACTACCCATCTGCACCACGTTAAGGGCACTTGTCTCTGCTCGTACGTACCACATAGGTCAATATAGTGCACGCATTTGGTGAGAATTTCCTTTAGCAGTTGGAGCGTGTCGTTGATGCTGCCATCAGGTTGTGCTTTGGTGCTGATTCTTCGATATCATTAATCAAATGCATGCCGAACATGTCCCTGGTGTCAGCAGCTCGAAGATTAATTACTCCTGATAGTTCCACTAGGAGGTCCTTCTCATGCTGGAGGACAGTTTTCCTGTCTTCAAGGTTGGCACAGATGTACGTATATAACGCCTTGCGCGTCACAGACAGGCTGCCTCCAGAGGGGATCGGCGTGACTGATCGGCCATGGTGTAGAATACCATGCATAATCTTCATAAGTGAGCCCCAAGGCTCGCAGAGGGATAACAAAGCTTCCAGCGCCTCAGTTCGGGTTCGCTTTCGAACAAACTCCTTCTCTCGCTGGTTGGTGGTAGGATGCTACTGATTTGTGATGTCTTTGACCAGCTCATCTTCAGCGTAAATGATGAGTGAAGCGGCGCTCGCAAAGGAGTTCTCTCGCACTTTTTCCTTGAGTACAAAAAATAAAAAAGAATTCACGAATTCAGATTTTGGGCAAAGCAAATATTACATTATTGCAAATTACGCTCTACCTTCGCATGCTCAGCAGCTCGTATGGCAGCCTCCTGTCTCATCAAACCGGAGAGTACTTGGGGCTCCTTTGATTTAGGAAATTTTACGCGTCTCTGTCTTCGCAATTTTTTTATGTACGGTTTTGCAGAGCAAAGGCCTCAGTCCAACGTCTCTTGGTCCGATTCTTTGCCGGTGACGCGGTCGTGCTCTCGATTGTGCTTGCTGCGTCCTCCAACTTAATACGTTCTTCGTATTCCACAACAGACGTGTTCGCCAAACGAGCCTCAATCTCCTCCTCAATTCGAAGTGTCAGCTCCAAGCACCTCGTCACAGCCGCCTTCGCCTTTATTCCGAAATCCTGCTTCTTCAAAGGTATGAGAAATGTGTCGAACTGCATGAGTCGAAAACACCTTTGAAGTCGAGTCGCCACAGCTTTGTCTCATCCTTGAATGTGCTTGACCCGAAAACTGCAATCCCTCGCCGTGGTACAGCTTCCCGACAAGTTGAGCGGACTTGGCTGACCCATGAGTCTCTCATGACCCTTGCCAGTTTGAACTCGTCCCGTACGCATTTGTCGGCCTTCGGGCTGTGGATTGTCGAGGCTTCGGACAAGTACAGCTGAGAAGAGTCACGGAAAGCCACTCCATCAGCATAATGGCCAACCTGTTTTGCCTCAATGAAAAAATCCTTATCCTGATTCTTCCTCTCCTGCACGCCCGTGATAAGGACCTCCAAGGACCTGGTCTCAATCCTCACTAAAGTCATAGCTCCCCTTATGAATGCCCACGTGAGGTCTATAAACCCCTCTCGTTCATTAAGGTCACTGGGTATTTCATCGTGGAAGGTGAAATAGTTCAGGCTACGATCCGTTAAAGAATGAAAACAATGGCAGATCGTTAGAATAAGGGGTGATAACCAGGGATTTAAAGTTACTTTCAAAGAAATGTCAAGATGGACTTCAACTAAGGCATCATATCATGTAGCGCACTTACTAAGAGAGGACGACGTAGAAGATGTATCCCACAAGTGAGTCCTGCAAATTTTCGTCCCTTATAGCTTTTGACACATCTTCGTAGTGGTTTTTTGCGAACACGCGGTTAAGGATGCTTTCCAAGGTTGGCCACTTCTCATGAATGTCGGTCATGATGGGCTCGACCTTCCCAGCAACTGCTCCGACATGAGGCGGCAAAGCTTTCCTGAACTTGGAACCATGTCTCATGTCTGCGATCCCATCTCGAAACAATGAGAAGTCCTGTAAATGCTGAGGCCTGAATGCCCGAAACTGCTCCACCAGATCAACTTCCTCCACAACCCAAGACACCTCTTGGTTCAATACTTTAAAATATTCCAGATCAGCAGTGGGGTCCACATATTCTATTAAAAATAATAACGAGTGCAGGGCATGGTTCTCCACAACTAAAATAGGGCGCATGTGCAATTCATAAAAGACGTACAAAATGTGAGATTACCAGTCTCAATAACTAATACCAAGAGGACGATGTCTCTCTTCGAAGGGACAGGGGAGTTGGCACTGGGCTAGAAGAAGTGACCTATCCTTACCTCAGACTCCGAATCCCAGGAAGGAGAACGCAGCAATTGTGATGGTAAGGCTTCTAAGCCAAAAAAAAAAAAAAAAAAAAAAAAAAAGGCGGCTCAGGGCGGTAGCTCTTGTGCATGTCATTTGTAAACGTAGTACTCCACTACAGCACACCACATAGGCATTACTTGATTCCAGCTCGTTATCGCTCTTCGCTTCTTGCCTGATGTTCTGGACCAGCGTCTTCTTGGACTTATCTTTCTTGTCAAAGAGAGGAGTCTCTTGTAATGGAGTCCCCAATCTCCGATCAACCCGCTGCGAACGATCGTCTGTCCTTTCTCGACCAGCCCACACGTGATCTGATAGAGCGGCCAGTAGCCGAAGGCCTGCAGCAGTTGGTACCCACACTTTTTGGCTGTATTATGTTGTGTACTGACTGCTTATATCTGTTGCGAATACGCAGTATATCTTGCAACACGCAGGAATTACATGTAGCTGCCGTAAGTAACAATGAGAGCAGAAACCAGAGTGACAACAACGATGTTATCTATGGCAGCGGCGCCAGTCGAAGCCGAGGTTCTTCAATTGAGGTCAGTGCATAAGCGTTAGTTTAGTTGTCTACCTGTCTGACGGGTCCATCATGAGATACTGACGCGATGTTCTTGTGTCAATTGCTCTGCCTTCCATAGCCATTTAAGAGGCGCATCGCAGAGGAGCTCAACGCCGTAGTTCTAAACAGCGTGCGCGAGTTATTGAGTAAAGACACTTTCATTCTCCGTGCTGCGAAACATTATGGCATAGATCCAGACTCGCGTCTTGCCGTTATTGATGTGGGAGTAGTGGAGTTTTTTCTATCTCCTGACGAGTAGAAGCAGCAGCATCAGCACAATATCTCTACAAACTTTGTCCATTTAAGAACATACGAGTACGAAAGAACAGGCATGTTTAAGCGTCTTCGTATTACCTTAGATTGCCAGTGCTCTAAGAAGATGCGGATCCGGAAGGACAGATTAAAGGGAGGGACTTCTGGTAAATCGAGGAATACAAAGCTGAGTACAATACATCATGCAGGCCTCAGACACGACACTCTGAGTATGATCCTCTACGTGCCTTGGAGTACTATACGATGTCGAGATTGACTTTAGCAGGGCTACTGGCAGCCATGTTATCAGCTGCTCATGCGAATATTTCCGCTCAGAAGCGACTTGTGCAAGCACAGCGCTTTGGTGCAGCTGGAGATGTCCTCTATAAAGTTGTTCAGAGTGGAACCATGGACGTATGAAGAGAAATTCCACTTAGACATGGTCGAGCCGGACCACGAGGGTCCCGCGGGACCTGTAGCGCCTTCATTGCCATCCTTGGATGCCCTGGGCCGTCGCTTTGAATGTTTTAACGCCTTGAACGTTTTAACGCCTTGAACGTTTTAACGCCTTGAACGCATTAAGTGACACATGTGCACCTTTACCACACAAGGAACGGATCAATCTATACTTACAACAAGCATACCAACGATTCAAGATGCCCTCGATTTGTTTGAAGCAAGTTTTCCTCGGAAACAAGGCCACGATCTCAGCAATAAGCGGCAACGCCAATGCTACTAGAGCTGATGGAGTTTCCATGCACATATAAGGGCGATTTCAGCAAAAGTAGGCCTTAGACTTTTCTCACGGCGGATAGTAAAAATCTAAAATAAAGTTTTACGCACAAAACCAATGCAAACCGTGGGGGGAGCAAGGGGCGAAAAGAGAACTTGGACACCGAATCACTCATGAATTCTTTCGACAGCACAAAATGGCCAATTGCTATGGCTATATTTACAGAAGAGAAACACCAATATCCTCAATCGATAGATGCGTCATTCACCTACAAAATAAAAAAACGGTGAATAAAATCCGATGAGTATCCATGACCCTGTACTCGGAAATAGTACGCAGCGTCGTCTCACGCGAGTTCATTCTCTTCAGAAAACCGCATTCCACCGGTTCACTTGACCGACAGCGCCAGCTGAGATTTACAATCGGCCAAGTGGAGGCGAGCGAGGTGGAAACTAAGGATAAATATCGAGTCGGTCAGTTTCAAGTCATGACATGGAGCACTAGAGCATGGAACTCGATTACCACAGAAGCGATCCAGAACTGCTTTTGGCATACTGGTCTCTTTGATCGTGAAGAACAGCCTGTAGGCCCTCCCACAGCAACCCTCAGCCATGACATGGAGATATTAAGGCAGGTAATTCTACAGCTTGCAGTGCGACGGCCAATGTCAGTCGACGAATACCTCAATCCAGAGGAGGAACAAACCCACGCTCACTACGAGCTCTCGGACGAGGAACCTTTTGAAAGTGCGGCGTCCCTTGAGGACGAAACTGCGACGGAAGAAATAGAGATGGATGAAGATGAACCACGTCAACCGACGGACAACGAAAAACTTGCCGCGCTTTACTTGGTTATTAGCATGCTGGATGGAGGTCATCTGCCTATTGACAACCCAGACGATGAAGAGCGAACCATCGATGCACTGAGAGTCCTTCGCACCAAACAGCAAGCGCTGCGATTAGTGGTAGAGGTTGGCGATTTTACAGTATTCATATAATCGCAACACTCCCGGACCAAGGTCAGTATCTTTGCAAGCGCAACTATGTTATTACACTGATCACCACTCATTCTATCCTCAAATTCTACAGCCGCAAATACACCCGACATAGCCTCATTTCAAATCTCTCTTAAAGCGGAACGGCGAAAACCTTCTTAACATGGACGACCAACGCATACACAGCAACCTTGCTCGACCTGATCGATTCCATTACAGCAATCTCTCCTAGATACCTCAAATGCCCGTCGATGATCATTATCCATCATCCCAAGGCGATTCAAAATGCAATGGAAAAAGTTCTAGATGATACTCGTCTACGCAATATACTCCTATCATACATCCAAAAAAAAAAATCAACGCAATTGTGATCGACACCGACACGGCAACAAAAGCATTCAGCGAATTCACCCTCCCAGAAGTGAATACAGTTTTCAACATGAGCAACATGGACTCCCCTAACATTAGCGATTCCCCTAAAATATCACGTCTATCTTCGGTATCTCTCTTTTCACCAATTCAGCAACTTGCATATCAAAAAACAGAGGACGAATTATCGACAAGAAAGCTGCTTTCATTCCTCAATACCGAGACTGCATGCTCCATCTACGCCAGCTGCTATTTATTTGATAGCGTCAGCCTATTGGAGAAGAAGCTCATCGGGAACTTCGGCTACGGAAATCTAGACTATTCGATCGAGATTGTCGCATATTTCACCAGAGTCCAGCGTATACTATTTAGTTTAATAAGTATACCTCCAGCTCACTATTATATTTTATACAAATAGATGATTTCAAAAAAGGAGTCGCTCAAAATGCAGTGCAGTTGGAAGCAGCTCTCATAAGTAGACAACAAGCACTAAGCCAAAACCATGCCTCCTACCAAACCCCTCTAATAGCCTATGGCATTGTTATTAACGCACAGGAATGGATATTCTTAGAGGCAACACTACATCCAACAAAAAATTGCCTTCCTTCATTTCGTATCTCAAAATTTCCTCATACTGTCAACTACGACAACGACGGTTGGACGAAGAAATCCAAAATAATTTTCAGTCACCTCCTCTGGAATATCCATAAAATGGAAGAGAAGATCAGTAACTTCGAAAAAAGACATAAAGCAGAATAAATACCTGAATAAAAACTATTCCATCCATCCATCCACGCAGTTCAACCGCCTGAATATGTAGACACTGAATGTTTTCTAGACATTCCAATCAAAAGCGAAAGCGAACGGCGCGTATTAAACGCTTTAGACAAACTTATCTTTTTTAATGGCCTTTGGTACTGGACAACTACTTACAGCTCATCACGTATATTATAACGACACATATGCAATCGAATTATCCATCAATGGCTGCTACTCTCTAGGACAACTTTCAACAAGACTTTGTATACCGCAACATCCACTACATTGTTCCTCAACAACATTCCTTGTATATAATAGCTCATAAACAACAATCTTTCGTTCATTCACGACGAAACATGACCAACAATAATTGGCCAGAATTACATCTAAAAGGAAAACATGGAGTATATGTTGATAAAGCAAGGTGATGGAACGAGACAGTCAAATCGATCACACCGCACATTTCTTCACTTACCTTGCCTCGAGACCTTAATCCCTACTAAGGCAATCTAATAAACAAAACAGCAGGGTTTATTACATCAAATATAGCGGACACATTTCACTGTTTGGCTATCCAGTATTTATTGAGGGAAGAATGATGCTTTGTCAAGAACAATTAGGTGAATGTCGTTGTGAACTTTTGTATGGTAGGCGGTGTACGTCCAACCCTCCAGTCTCTGCTGTGCAATTTCTGTCCAATGGTCGCCCTCAGGTCCCAAATATACAGGGTCTGCTTGATAGCTGTCTATCTCCCATACATAACCTTTGTGCGGCATTATTAGAGTGATGTGGTTATCCGAAGTGCTTTCAGACGTACTGTCAAAATAATTCTCGTTGATACTTGCAATAGTATCAAGAACGGGCTGAATACTGCGCAATATATGTTGATGAAGGCATTGTAGAAGATTTTTTTGAAGACAACCCTACATTTTGAATGTGTATAGAGTAAATAACAATAAACAAATGGTCCCTTATAACAAAAAAAAAAAAAAAAAATACAAGTTGAATTACCGGTGTGGTATCCAACTGAACGTTTTCCAAAATGCTCTGTGATGTGCTCGAGGGGTTCCTATTCGCAACAAAATTGAATAACGCCATAGAGCAATATGGGCCGGACGTCATCTGCAAGGGAAAAGATACAGTACGTTAGATACAGAATTACGTTTATAGCTTAAAACAACGTACAAATACTGGTTACCTGCTGAAAATTAGTTGGTTTCATCGCCTCTCTGGTCGGCGCTATGAGTTTTCTCGGCTCAGAAAACCTAGGCATTTTATTGTCTGCATCGTACTCGGGCTCATCATTGGTTTTGTCTTTGTAAAGGTGGTCGTCGTCGTATGTCTTGTACATCAAACGTCTAGTTTGCTGGCTATTTCGGTAGCAAACTAGATAGGCCAAGTATCTCAGCCTCTCGGTCGAACGTAAATTAGAATGAACTGCAATCTTATCCAGAAGCTTGTACGGAACACACACAAGTGGAAAAAAGCTAGACTAGGACTACTGGCGACGGCGGGCTTGATGCTCACTCGTAGAGGTTGGTCGCTTGGATCCTCCAGCTTGTCCTTGTCATTGCCCTTGCCCTTGCCCTTGCCCCACTGCGCTACTGCTGCCGCTGCTACTGCCCCCGGCCTCTGTGTGCGGTCTTGCATCTTGCATCCAAGGGTAGTACCCATCCTTATCTACTGGCTGAAGATAGAGTGGTCGCTGTTGATGGAATAAATGGCCACGAACCACATTACAGATGTTGTGTCCTGCCATAATATCGCGGTGCATGGTAATACCGCAATTTAAGCAGTGTAGCCTGCGGGTCTCCACCTGTCCGACAAACTGCTCGCAGGTTGGACAATTCTTGGACGTGTAGTATTCATTCACTCCAACCACGATGTATCCAAGTGACCTGACCTATGTGAGCGTTAATAAAAAAGTGCCAATGACATCAGCACAATATTCACAATATCCAAACATGATACAGACCTGCATACTTGTTTGATGATGCATTACCTTCTGAAAAAAGTACGACTGGAAGGACTCGTGCAGTGAGGGAAGCCTAGTCTTTGTCGAGAACTTGCCCAGACTAACCCCAATTACAACCTTGTTGGTCTTATCCCTTTCCCTGTCGATGTTTCCTCCAACTGCCTTGAGAAGACTCTCTGCAGTGAGTCTGTATTCGGCATCCCGCGCTCTTTTTGCGTCTCACTTGTGCTTCTTGAACCGATTGTTGCCGTTGTAGAACTACTGTAGTCGCTTTTCCACTTTCTCCAGCTCTACGACATGGTTCGTGAAGCTAGCGCCCTGGCTGCGCAATGGTGGCAGCTTAGTCTTAATGCTGCTGATCGATTTGGTTCCATCGCCTGGCACGATATTCTTCTGCTTTTCCATCCATCTTCGATAATTGAGCATAGACTGACTGACGGCCTTTTGCTTGACTGCGAAATTGTGAAAAATAGCGGGGACCTGACGCTGGGAGGCGTCTTAGGAAGGGCTGGCCATATCCATATAATCGCATTCTTCCCCAGTCACCGTCGTCGTGCTGCCGGGGTCATGGTCTTCGGGCAACAGCAGACTGGCGCCCACGACACACGCTTGGCCTAGATCGATACCTAGATTCTTGATCTGATCGGGCGCGCAACCTCAAAGGTCGGTGACATCCTGCTGGGTCTTCACAACGTTTCGGACCTCGGTTAAGTAATGATCCACTCCTCCGGTGGTGGAGGTGATTCTTGGGGGCAAGACGTTCTCAGGAAGACGCCTGTATCGCACCGACTGCAGTTCCTTCATCTTGAAAGCTAGCAGCTGTAGACGAAACCCGCCTGTCCGAATGGAGCCTCGATGGACATAGCTGCGTTTGGTGTAGTTCCTTGGATCAAAGTTGGCCTGCCGAAGGGATTGAATGTGGTCTCGCATCGCCGCCAAGTCTATCATAGAAATTGAGTCCTTGAAACCCCTAGGCCCTTTGCGTGGTTCTGACCTGCCGACGTTCGAAAGTAGCTTTGTAATGATGGTGCCGGCAGGCCTTGACTGAAACCGCAAATGCAGATCCGGCTGGAATAACGGCGTGCTCGCGCTTGGGAAATCCTCCCGTATCAATCCTTGAAAATATGTCTTCAGAGTTTCGTTCTTCGAGAACAAAATGCAGAGTTCTTTTTCGGAAAAAGACATGAAAGGCGTTTCTGCCCCCCGTTAGTGGAGCCGTCTTACGGTAGCTCTGACTAGAGCGGTTCAAGAGCGCGGAATTCTCAATCGCCGGAAGGCTCGGGTCAACTTCGGTACGAGATCCTTCTGCTACTAGGCCCTTCGCCTTTTCGGCTTGCAACTATTATGAACACTATGAACATGCCATCGACGTTAGTGTTGTGATTCCTTTTAGCGTCTTCATTGGTTCCCACATGTATAGCTAGAAACGGTACTGTACCTTTTACTCGAGTTGGGTGGAAGGATAGCGGAGGACGGACTCGTACTCTTTCTTCTTCAGAAAGGGCCACAGGTCTTCAATGCCCATGGTAGCCTACGCGATGATGAAAATATGGAGCTTTTTTTTAATAACGACAGTGAAGGAAAGTGTGGAAACAGTGAAGGAGAATGAAGGCGTATGAGAAGTGGAAGAACGCAAGAGTGCATGAGTAGTGAAGAAGAGTTGTGTGAGGGATCTAGCAAGACAAAGGAAAGGAAAAAAAAACTGCGGGAAAAAGCAGGGGTCCTTGGCACAGATTTTTTGGTCTTTTAATCTTTTAATCTTTTTAAGCTTTAAGCTTTTAAGCTTTAAGCTTTTAAGCTTGGCAAAAGCGCTTTGACCTGCTGATTAAATGATTAAGGAAGATTTTGACATGTTGCATCTTAATGAGCAGGGGCTCCTGTGTGCGATCGTCAGCCCACTGCGCTGTACCTGAACAGCGCTTGGCCGACCATCGGCAATGGCTGCTAACGCACCATATGATTTTCCTAGAGAGCACGACTCCCCTAATCCAAATATCAGGGCCTTCGCTTACGACGATTTCTGTGCTTTCTGGACCCAGGAAAGAGACGTGTTTTAATGGCTGTACTTTCCCAAAAAAAACTCACGTTCCTTCTACTAAAAGAAACCTCTGGATATCAACGAGTCACTCCCCCTCTACATTCTAAAACTTTTTAGCGGACAACGTAGCCGACTGCGCGAGTTCGATTGGTCAGTGAAACATGTATGCAGACATGGGGATTCAAAGAAAATACTTTCTGGTAGCCGTGACTCTGTGGGTCAAGGATGTCTAGCCTACTGTACATCAGAATCTGCAAAAGGGTGAACCAAGTGGAAATTGAGTACCACTGGAGCCAGAAAGCATAGTAACTCGCCTGCAGCAAGAGCAGCATTCACTTTGGGTCCAAACGAACGGAATTGGTCTAGCGAGAAGATCTCAGAAGGCGATGACTGGAAAGGGATAAGGAGGCTCTTAACACCCCGCCTAGACAACCTACAAATGGTATTGTTGACCTGAATGTGCTTTCGTGTTTCTAAAATCCGCGGCAAAATAACTAGGTCTCCTAATGTAATTGATTATTACTTCGTATGATCATATTCGCGGAGGCATTTACCGAGTGCGTATGAAAATTGCCAACATGAGCTAGGAACCATGTGGATGAACTGAATAATATTCTTCATCACTCGAAAGACCAGAAAAGTAGAAAGTGTATTGGAGTATATGTAGAGCGCTACAGTATCTATCTACCAGAAATTACTCAAATCAAGTAAAAAAGTGGCTGGTTAGAATTCAGAATGGGTTGGGTGTTCATGCACGTTATTTTTTATATGTTGAACTTATAAATTTTGAAAGAGGGTTCCGACACCCTATGATTATATTGATTGGCAGGCCGGCACCGGTTCTGGATTTGCAACAGACACACGGTGGCAATGTTCCCAGAGCCGACAATATCGCGATCAAAGTACATTTGACAGCTTCGGGGCGCTCTTCGTTCTCGGAAAACTACTAAAGAAATTTGAAGAGCTAATGGTCACCACTAGTGTTCCGAAAGGCAAGGAACACAAGGGATACATCTTGCACACTTTTTAATATACCTTTGCGCCATAGTAATGGATTCGCACTGCATTGCAGACTGCCGCAACAGCAAGCCTCGAGACCGCCGAAGGGAACATCTCTGGCTCTTGTTGGCGAAAGGGGACAAAGCCGGTGAGCGTTGTGTACGCATCAAAGACACGTCCGGCATGGGTGGCTGTTGGTTGTGCTTGTGCTCGTACTTGTGCTTGTGCCTGTGCTTGCAGTTGCGGGGCACCAAGTACCAATGGCGTATTTCGAGTGCTCATCCTGCGCGCAGAGGTAACCGATACTCGAACAGCCTGAGAACCTCGTCCTTCTTGACCACTGCAGAAGAGTGTGTTGAGTGCAAAGTAGAAGGCCTTGCTGTCGAGAATGTCTGCAATGTCCTCCTTTCGCTGCGTCACATCTGTCGCTGTGTCTTTAGAACGAACAAGCCGCGCGATATCCAGTGCAGTGGCCACGTACATATGCATCTGGACCGCGTTAAGGACCGCGACCGCTGAACGTAGCCTGTCTGAAAGGAGCTTGCTTTCTGCAACCGAGATCTGATCCATTCGCTTTACGTTGGCCTGGATACTTCCTACAGTGAGTGCCTTGGTTATATGCAGCTTGTGGAAGTGGTGGTCCGCTGCAGTTGCAGAAGTGGGCCTTGGGTTCGATGGGTTGGCGGGGCCCACCCCTTTCCGTTTCCTCGGCAGTGTCCCCTTCTTCCTCTTTTTCTTGTTCTTCTTCTTCACGACCGGCTTTCGAGTCTTGATGAGAGGCTTTGCTTTTGGCTGTGGGCGATCGTGAGGTACGGCAGCCGAGAAGTCAATCGATTGTCGTGGTAGGATCGATTTCTTGTCTGAAAATATCGGCCGGAACTGGTTGCGCTTTGAGTTCCTCGCAACGTAAAAGGGAACCGCACTAGTAAGTACATGCATGCATCGCCATGCAAAAGGTGTTAGAGAACTTGTTGTCTGTACAACACGTGCGTGAATGAAGTGGTGCCGCACTTAAATTACCTTCTACTCGCATGCTGATATGCAGCGACAGCAAATCGTTGCGCCTTGAGGTGCCGGAACTGCGGTGACGCAATGTTGAAATCAAAGCCGAGCATGTCCTCATCGGCAGCCTCATCTCCTGGCTGCAGTTGGAGCACTTTCTCCTCGAGATTCAAAAAGATGTCTTCCGATGGCTTGAATCGGGTCTGGTCGATAGCCTCGCGGATTTTGATGGCTGCCATGAATTTGTAAGCACCGAGCATCAGGCGGATATCGGAAGAGCGCGGATGATCTCCAAATTGCGAACTATTCCAGGGCCGGGAATGTTCTCGGTATAGTCGTTCTTGGACACGATGCCCAGCAACGTCACATAGTCTGCGCTGGGGATCTGAAGCGCATTGGTAACACTCTCCTTGGTGTACAACGCATAGGCAAGGCCGTGGAAGATCGGCCGCAAAACCTTGGTGACCGACGGATATGTCAACAGATCGGAATCTGCTGACACCACGAAGCTACCGGCAGTCATGATCAGTGTGCGTGCAATGCAGGTGTCGGCCTCGGTCCTGCAGGTGCAGACAAAAAACCTTTTTTCTTGCAAGGCATCCCGGAGTGTCTGCTTGGCAGCCGTATCAAATCTGTATACATCGCGGAGACCCTTCTTGATCTTCGTTACCACGCTCTTCGAGGTCCATTGGCCGTTCGACGACTTCGTGCTCATGACTTTCAAGTCCGCTTGCAACTTCTTGAGATCCGCTGTCAGTCTGTTCTTTCGCCTGATGTGCTCGTTCCGCTTCTGCTGGGATGGGGCGCCATCGATGTGAATCGTACATTGCGCAGGGGTAAAGTCCTTCGCCAAACGCGCTGCCATCGCGAGACCGACAGTTCGGACCATGCTTGAGTCGTAATCATCCGTGATCTGGCGGACGAGAGATCCATAAAACGCGCCGAAGAGGGCAACCTCAACAGCTTGGTTCTGGTAATCTTGAGGATCCGCGGCAACTGGATCCAAACCGCGCTTCTTCAGAGTACTGTAAAAGCTCATTATGCCCATGCCATGGTCACTATGGTGGGTTGAAAGCTTAGCAGTGTTAGTGAAACCCTCTCGTAGGGACGCTGAAGATATGGAAGGATAGGCTTAGAGGGTACATTACCTTTTCTACAGGCGTATAGTATCTAGCGTGAAGGTGTCTATGGATAGCGAACTGCGGGCAAAGGGCGATGCGGAGAAAGAATGATGAACGAAAGGTAGAAAAAGATACTGTTGATGGTGTCGCTCGCGCTGAAAGAGTGAGCGAAAAAGAAAGAGAAAATGGCTGTGGACTGTGTGGCGGGCTGAAAAGATGAAAGAAAAGTGTGGCGAAGAGAGCTATGAAGTGTGTGGCAGAATACTTATAGGCGAGAAGAATGTCTGCTTCCCCACAATAACAAAGACTTTCCACAATAAAGAAAGGCATTACCACAATAACAAAAGGATAAAGAGCCATCACACTGATAGATGCTAGTCGCTTGACACGAAGCACGATCAGTGTTATACAAGTAGCTTTGCCACGGCCTGACACAGATGTCCGCCCACATCACCATCATCGCTGTTTCCAACGTACGAAGATAGGCGCAAATCCAGATAGGTCGCTAGGGATGCAATGGAGGGTAGGGAAGTCAGTCAAGTAGCGCGGTCAACCTTCAAAGGACTAAAGTCTATGAGAACTTTTATTATTAAATCACGAGGAAGAGCAACAACCCAGAATAAAAGAATAAACTCTGGTTCCTGAACCAGTCTCTTCTCTACATATGTATCTTGTATCAGACATTGCATTCGTCCAGATTGTCCGGATAACACCGCATCATCGACAGGTACTGACCGCCGTCGTCAGCAACCCACGCAACGAGATACAATCAACATAGAATGCCAAGCCTGATCATTCGCCACCTTTGCGCTATCAATTGCAACGTTTCCCCGATCTCCGATCGTCTCATTATTGAGCATCCGTCATCGGCTTATCCTCGTGAAACAGCATTATAAAGGCACAATGGAGGTCTGATCAGCGAACATTGCCATACAACGATTCCAGAGGGGTGGACTTCATTGTCACAACATCTCACTTCATCGTACATCATATATGTGAATAACTTGCAACTACCCCAGTCATTCTCAATGGAACATAGTCCTAGCTCGAACCATTTAGCCAAACAACCCTTCTCCGTTGTCCCTTGGAAATAAAGTTATGGTCCATGGTGTGTGCTGTGCGACGGATGCATAGTAGACTATGGTCGTATTTGTGCAAGTCAGAGCTGGGGTCAACAAAGTCAGGATATGGCTGACCTCCCTATTTTATCTATTCTAAAATATATCACTCTTATTCAATTATGGGAAAACATATGGAAGGTCAGCAAAATTTATGACCTGAATGGTGCAAATACCAGCACAGTACATGTACCTTTTGTTTCATTTCCGCTCAATACATGCAGGGTCGGAATGACAGGTGTCAAGATTGGGATACATGTACCCCACACAACCCCGCCGCTCAGAAATGCTCTTTATCCACTAAGAGATGATGACACAGAGATTCTCCGGTTGTTTTTTGTTTAGTGAGCAAAAAATAACAGAGCGAGAGCTCTGAAAAACATCTATGGTATGTACACGCCATTGCTTCGCGATGTGACATCAATGTCCCAGTGGATGGACGACAGGAGAAAAGCTGTCAGGGACAGACAGGCAAGTGGTAGAAGGCATGGAGATAAGAGGTCGAGAAACTGGAATGGACAAGGTAAGTGTTTTATTACAGACTGAGGTTTCTATAATAAAGCTACTGGGTATTTATACATAATTACAAGGCGTGGATTATTAAGCTGAATGGCGAGAGAGGAGACAAGGATGGCTAATGAAGATGCAAGGTGGGGCCGCGCGAGAGGGTATGGCGTCTTTATCAAACATGAAAGCGACCAAACCTTACTCCGCCGTGAGACGCGACAGAGTAAAAGATCAAACGTAAACAAGATCTCTTTTTGCTCTCTCGCTTACACCTTCACGAGGAACTATGGCGCGGTTCGTGACAAAAGCCGGCAAAGTTGGATTTCGAGGAATTATACCATTTCGTTTTCTTGCATCTCTCACGACCAAGACTGTCGCTCGATTTTCACACTTGCCAGCACGCTTGCATGATGTCGTTCTCAAACGTGCTTGTGGGCGTTGCCTGATAAATTTCGCGCATTCACCCTCTGTCTCTTCTCTCACATTTTTCCTTCTCTTCCCTCCTCCCCTCCTTCCCTCGTCGCCAGTCACTCTCTCAGAATGCCAGCACTCAAACTTATAGCCAAGCTGCTCACAATGGGAACAGCGATTTCGCTCCTGACGACACCCCAAGTCTCGACAGCCACCGTCTTTGGCCCGACAATCACACCTCGGAACCCTTACATTGGGCAAGATGGAGTCGCGACGATGCATGGCGACCCAGCTTCGTCCGATACCACCCCTTTTGCTGGCCCGGGTAACGCCACCATCACCTCTAATCGGCGCGCGCTGCAATCCGCCTGTCCAACCCTATTGGGCACAGCGGATGGCTATGTCTTTGGCCTGTGCACGACGATCTTCACTCAAACGCCGACCATACATCTATTTGATTCTCAGGAAGCCAACTCGCTCGCAGAGTTGGCAGTGGCCAAGGGCAATATCCTTGGCGGCGTGTATGCCTATGTCGATAACGAGGACAGGCTCGTTCTCACCAATGGCAACAACCAATTGCTTCGCATCGGCAAGTCTGCTAATAATGCCAAGTGGACGCTCGCGATCACGGATACCCTCCCATTGACCCCGATCCCTGCCAACGATTCCGTGGTGGGACTAGCCCCAGATTGGCAAGGATATGTCTGGTTCGCGACCGCAAATGGTTTGGCTGGATATGCAGACCCAGTCTCCAAGAACGTGACCACTCTCTCGCTCAAGGCGCCGAATGGAGGTGTACAAGAAGAGGTGGCCAACAGTATCTCGACCAGCCCAGCAGGGGCTTTGATTTCGACAACGTATGCGACCTATCTTCTCGGCCGCGACGATGCATCGCACACGATCAAGGTCCTGTGGCGCGAAGCATACGACCGCGGTCCTGCCCGCAAGCCTGGTCAGTTGAGCTGGGGCACGGGGTCCACGCCGACATTCTTTGGGCCTCAGTCCGGATACGAGTACGTAACGATTGTGGATAATGCTTCGCCATTGGTCAACTTGCTTGTCTACCGCACACAGGACGGCAGCCAGGTCTGCAAAGTCCCACTCTTTGAGCCTAACAACTCTGGTTCTGAAAACTCACCCATTGGGTCCGGTCGTTCCGTCATTGTCGCGAGCACCTATGGCTACCCGTACCCAGCGCTCCCTGCCAACGCCCCAGCCAGCCAGCCAAGCTCTGCGCCCTTTGTTGGGGGCATCGAGCGTGTGGATGTCCTTGAAGACGACTCGCAAGGTTGCGTGGTGAAATGGGTCAACAACAAGATTCGTTCCTCGGCAGTCCCTAAACTATCGCTCGGCGACAAGAAAATCTACACCTTTGTGCGCCAAAACCCTCTTTCCCCGGACTCAACCAGCACGGGCATCCTGGACAACTATTACTACACGACCATCGATTCCGAAACGGGCAACATTGATTCCAAGCAATATGTGGGGACCGGGTCCATTTATGATACGCTGCAGATGGCAGGACTCATCAATCAAGGTGTACTTCTGCAAGGTACCATCACCGGTGTCGTTCGCGTGCGCAAGGCATAGCTCGATAGCTCAATTAAAGCTCGCCTCTGTTCCTCTCAAAAAAAAAAAATGCACGCTCGCTTTCTTTTTGTTTTTTCTTACTTGCTCCAGTTTTTGGAAAGATCGTTACTCTACATCTCCTCCTACTACCAGCTTCTGCAGGCATCCTCCTAGCAACAATACCTTGATCCCTCAAATAGCTTTTCAATTCCTCAACCTCCAACCCTCTTTTTTTTATTTTATTTTTATTGACGCCAGATCCTCCCAGGCGTGCAGGTGTGCTACAGGCTGCATTGCCCAAGCCTCGGCTTGGACTGTCAGTTGGCTGATAGTTACCTAAAGATAACTAACAAAGGGCCCCTACTAAACTAATGTAAAATGAGGAACCAAATGCCTATAATGCACATTCTGAGTCGCATGGTTTTTAATACTTGAGCCGGGGCCCAAAACCGCTACGCAACCTGTCGAGTTCGATGGGTCCTCTTCTAGTCAAGGTCACGGGCCAATATGAATTTTATCCTCCTTCCTCTCTCCATCTCGTTCAACACCACCTTTCCCTGGAGATGGTCCACCAAGCGGCTGTCTGCTCTCCTCCTCGCCGCTGTCGTAACCTCCTCTTGGAGCTGTTGTCTCACAAAGCCCTGGGCCTCACCTCCTACCTGGACCCCGACTTTCTTCATCCTCGCGCATATGCCCTCGGACTTTTCCCATGCCACTGTGGCACTACATCGCTCCTTCCATAGCTCCTCTCGGCCAAAAGCCTCAACTCGTTCTAAAAAGCGTCCAACCAGGTAAGCCGCGATACTCTTCGACGTCTTAAAGAGCAGCGCCCAATCTGCTGTCAGGGACTTTGGTACGAGTCCGTGATATATATCCGTCGTTGTCCAGAGCCTGGTGAGCGTTGCTGCCTGCTGTACATTTTCTTGATTACCCACTTCTTCTCCTTCCTCCTCGTGGACATTCTCTCTGTCCTCGTCACCATTCTCCCTGTCTCGCCACTCCTTAGCAGCCTTATCCAGTCATCATCCCCCGTGTCCACCATCGTTTTCACTCCCCGGATCTCACGCAGATTCCACCAAAGGGTATCTAACTCGCACGGAGTAAAACTCGGTTCGGCGTGTGAATTGTCGACCATCCTTGATTGCCTCCTCCATGTCGCGCAACCACTTTTTCCTCATCTTATCCACCAAGGTGCGTCCAAGACTTAGAACCCCATCAAGTGTCTTTCTCCATTCTTCCTGTCGTTTGTTCTGTGTGGCTCTGCAGACCCAGAGGTGCTGGGTATCCTCCACCATGGTAAGGCACACTTGGCATCTGTCTGTGGTATACAGATTCGACTTCCACCTGTGCATGTACTGCATGGTTGGCAGCATACCATGGATTTTCTTGATCCTGTGGGACCGATGGTTGCAATCCGCAAGGCTGGTGAAAAAACCCCCTGGCGGATTTTTCTCATGTATTATAGCAAGGCTGGATCGCCACTCCACTTCTTCCCACTGCTGAATAAATTGTTTCATTCATCGTTGACAAGTCCATGCATGATGGTCTCTGGCTGCAGACTGATGCTTGATCAATTGGCGAATGTCGTCCTCCGCTGGCTGACCACAGAAGGTCGTATGTGTCTTCATGCTCGTGAAATACTGTGTGTTCAGTTGCCATGGCCGTCGCCCGCTGTCGTGTGTCTTGTCCGCCAATTCGTCAGCGGCCTCATTTCCAGTATCGCCATTGTGTCCTTTAACCCACTGAACATCTACTTTGCTGTCCTGCTGCACGTACGCCTCGTAGATCACGGCCCACCAGTTGGCATATGCTGCTCTCAACCGTCGTCGTGGAGTAGCTGTATGTCGATTCTTAACTAACGCCGCAAACTGTTGGACCACTGCTCTATTGTCGATATGAATAATGGCGTTGCGATCCCGGGGACAGCACAGAATTGTCGCGAGCAGACCCACCAGTTCTGCTTTGGTGGATGATGCGTAATCCGTCGTTGTACCACAGATAGCCGTCTGGAACGAGCCGTCGACGCATCTATAGACACTACCGAACGATTGGCTGACTGTGTCCGAGCCAGCGTTCTTCACTGATCCATCCGAATAAAGGACAATTGCCTCCAGCCCAGGCGGGATCCTCCATCGAGTCTCACGGATCGTTCGCCATGTCTCCTGGTCAATATCAACCCATGGGAAATCGATCGTTTGCGCGGCGGAGCCAAGACGCGAGCGCTACCACATCCTGAATGCTAGTTGGCTGTGAATCCATGTCCTTGAGTGCTGCTTTTTCCATTTATGTACCTTCTGTCCTCATCCATGCCATTATATTTTTCACGTCGCTGTCGCTGTCTATATTCCTTGAGTCGGATCGCGATATTGTACGTATGCAAAGCGTCCTCAGCAGTACGCCTCGCTTGTCTGTCCTCGGTCTCCGTGAGGGGCCCTATCACCTCTCGCAGGATTTCTTGTTGTGGAGGGGGTACAACTTGGTCAACACAGCGAGGGCAGTCGTGTGCGCATTTGCCCATCCTGCATCGTTCTGCTGCAATCCACTGACTGATGAAGCTACGCCGGTGATCGTCGCCTATAATCCAGGACTGGAAATCATGAAACCATTTCTGGATGGCCCTTTGACTCGTTACTGCTTGCGAAGGAAGGACCGCGACCGCACCTCCAATCCTTCATCCATGATCTGATCTGTTAAAAAAGACCAACACTCGCAAACCCTCGTGCGATTTCCCTGACGGCTGGGTGCGCCAGTCCATGATGCTCCGTGCTGTCGGTGGGACGCCGAGAGCGTCAGCATTGTTCAGGGTAAATGTGATGTTCCTGTCAGCCATTAAACGACACACGTTGGAGATAAGACAATGGCG